TTTAGGGGATCCCTCCGTTCAAATACATTGATGTGAGTGTTATGTGACATTGATATGAGTCATGTTAAACTGATGTGTGAGGTTACATTGATGTGTCATGTTACGTTGATGTGAGTGTGATGTAATATTGATGTGTGATTATACATTGATGTGAGAGTGATGTTACATTGATGTGTGATGTTACATTGATGTGAATGTGATGTTACAATGATGTGAATGTGATGTTACATTGATGTGAATGTGATGTTACATTGATGTTAATGTGATGTTACATGATGTGAGTGTTATGTTACATTGATGTGAGTGTGATGTTACATTGATGTGAGTAATGTTACATTGATGTGAGTCATGTTACATTGATGGGTGTGATGTCACATTGATGTGTGATGTTACATTGATGTGAGTGTGATGTTACATTGATGTGAGTGTGATGTTACATTGATGTGAGTAATGTTACATTAATGTGAGTCATGTTACATTGATGGGTGTGATGTCACATTGATGTGTGATGTTACATTGATGTGAATGTGATGTTACATGATGTGAGTGTGATGTTACATTGATGTGAGTGTGATGTTACATTGATGTGAGTAATGTTACATTGATGTGAGTCATGTTACATTGATGGGTGTGATGTCACATTGATGTGTGATGTTACATTGATGTGAGTGTGATGTTACATTGATGTGAGTGTGATGTTACATTGATGTGTGTGATGTCACATTGATGTGTGATGTTACATTGATGTGAGTGTGATGTTACATTGATGTGAGTGTGATGTTACATTGATGTGAGTGTGATGTGATTGTATTTTACTTAATTAGGCCCGAGACCCTAACTGTGTATTCCTAAGTGTGTGTTGTGTTGTGCTCTTAATGTGTTGTGCTCTTCATATAGTAGCTCTTTGGGGGTAAAAAAAGATCACATGAAGAGTTACCCCCCTTGATAGAAGCAGTGCAATAGACAGCAACAATGTTCTTCATAATAAAACAAACAAAACAATAACAATAATAATAGCTTATAGTGCAGAACAAAAGGATCACCACAATGACTTTGTCAATATAAGTATTAGTGTATAACATCTTTGAAAAATAATTACAAACATCAACAGCCAAACATTCACGCATTGACAACCCTCCTACTTCAAATCTCCTCAAGCAAATATACCACTCAACACTTGAAAGGAACACTGAGATGTCCATACTGTGATGAATCCCAACAACTCATTGAACTGAGTATTTATGTTTAATCAACGTGAACAAGGTCGCGCATGTTTCAGCTCCATGGCAATATGAATACTGTTTGTATGACAACACATCCCAGCAATCAGCCACGTCCAGACCCCACCTGGATACTCCTTATCCCTATCAAAGGATGAGTGGTATATATTCCACACCTGGAAGTTGGTATCATACCAATACGATCGATCCCTTGTACAAATCTTCAGTACCATCAAACAAGGGCTGGTATTCGGACGTGTATTCAGAGATACTAACCCCGATTTGACGCAAAGAGGAACATGAGGAATATCGGGGATATCTGAGGTCTAGAATTATGAATTGGGTAGGGGGGGGGGGGGGGGGAAACAGAGGAGTTTTGATGAAATCGTGTGTTGCTTCCCTACAAAAAATATCCCCTAACCTTTTTTGTTCAGTATATAAATCTAAACTAGTAGAGGTCATAACTGTTGTCCTCCAATCAGATTGACGTATTTTAACAGAGAACATGACGGACACTAAGGACCCATATTTCTAAAAACTGGAACAAAATTGAGAATGAGCCTCATAGCGGACATGTTTCATTCTGAAAGATGACCTCTGAAAGTGCTGACCTTACGACATATGCACAACAGATTCAACATCAACAGGGAGGTCAACTAGCATATGGAAGTACAGGAAAGACTGTACGAAGATTCTGCTTCCCCTGATGGAGGCACTGGGCAATCTGGTCCACAGAAATGATCATGAATGGGCACAACATTAGAATCACCAATATCACAAATAAAGTAAGGCAGCGTGGAGTGAGTGAGTGAGTATGGTTTTACGCCTCTTTTAGCAATATTCCAGCAATATCACGGCGGGGGGACACCAGAAATGGGCTTCACAAGGCAGCGCGGAAACGCTGGAGCCTGGAGCAGGCAAACCAGTGGTTGATATAGAATATGATGAAGGCCATTTACAGCAGGAAGTGCGTCTCAATTTCAAATCCATGACCACAGGTTGTCTGGTAGGGCTGGGACGAGTCCAAATTTACAACCCAGGTACCCAACCCCTTATTATCCAACCCTACCCGGGTACCCACTGTAGGTCTCCATAGTTGGGAACAAAATGTCTGATTGGGAACTGTTTTACCGCAGCCCTGGCAAAAACTATTTAGATAGATGTATCAATCGATCAGATCACGACCCATTGAAGTTGAATGAAGCTTTATCTTTACTCAAACATATACAAGTCAAAAGGAATGTGTGCATCGTCAGAAAGAAATGCATACATTAGCAACTTGTAGTGTAACCACTGAGCTATAGTGAGTTTTTGTCATTAAATAATGGGTACCCGGGTCCTACGCAGGACCCATCCCAGCCCTAGTTTCTGGCATGCCAAAGGGATTCAACTCTGTACAACGAATTGAGCACCTGAGACAAGAGAGTCACCAATGTTCTTGGGAAAATGTAGGTCCAATCGGCATGAGAGAAGGAACTAAACAGTGTTGTACATGGATTAAAAACAGTATTCCTGTGACATCATCGCACCCAGGTCAGCATTAGGATTGAAACAAGCCCCCAAACAAGCAGGTTGTAAACAGCTTGATCATCCCAAACTGACTTCCACATGAAATCTCATCCCTGCTTTGCAGTTGCAGTGGCCATAAAATGTGATGGAATTCGAAACACGGACCTTCAGATTTGAGGTCGGACGATTTGTCCACATAAAGAGGTTAACCCGTCAGCAAGTTGACAAGGTAAGGATGTCATCTCTGGGATGGCTCCACGCCCTGCTACACACTACCCCGACAACAGCATAGTCGGGAACTGAGACTTGTTTTGCTCAAACTTACTATGAACGTGTTCAGCGCCACAATGGGCGCCTATGGGCGCATGTGTATCACATTCTGTCATATAAATTTTTGTCACCTTAGTTTTGTTTTGAGGCCGGTTTGAATGACATGACCCTAAATATACATATCCAGTCTATTTGCACGGTTCGTTTATGAATTACACATCGATATCAACAGTACTCATCTCCACTGATGCATGTGGTTGCAAATACAAGAACATCTTGTTGGACACATACTTCCATGTTGTATTGATTAGGAAAACATCTTCTCCAAGCTAAAAAATCATTCACAACAGTCTTGTGATTCATGTAGTCACATCCAGGGCTTGCTTGGATGAAATTGCAATTCTGAACGTAGAACTATGCCAATTATCAAAAGGAGTGAGTGAGTGAGTATGATTTTACGCCGCTTTTAGCAATATTCCAGCAATATCGCGGCAGGGGGACACCAGAAATGGGCTTCACACATTGTACCCATGTCGGGAATCGAACCCGGGTCTTTGGCGTGACGAGCGAATGCTTTAACCACTAGGCTACCCGACCGCCCCTAACCCCTTAAGAGAAATAAGCCCCAAGATTATCATGACATAAGCAGTCTGTGACAGTGAGTGAGTAAGTATGATTTTAAGTCACTTTAAGCAATATTCCAGCAATATCACGGCAGGGGGACACCAGAAATGGGCTTCACACATTGTACCCATCATCATCAGAAGAAACATTTTGACTGGTAGTTGATTTCCAGCTCATGTGTGTTTGTTTGTTGTTTAACGCTGCACTATAGCTATACGAGGGTGGCCAGTAAATAATCAAGTCTGGACCAGACAATCCAGTGACTGATACAGTGAGCAACGATGTATCCTATCAGACATGATGGCGGTGATCCACCCTGTCCGCGAGTCTGACCACCCATCCATTTGGTCACCTCTCACGGCCAGAGTAGGTTTCTAGGACCAATGCTAACCTGGATTTCCCCAGAGAATTTAGTGCTGAGTAGGTAGTAAGAAAGATTGCGCTGTGTATGTTACTTCCAAACCAAAACTAAGGAGGCGAATAGGCCCAAGGTATTGTATCGAGAAAAAACAAATGTTCCAGAAAATGATTGAAAAAATTCATTATTCTTCATACTGCTGAAAAGAAAGAAATTGTCTGCCACAATGAATACATTGTTGCTCGTTGTTTTAAATTAAAAAAATATTTTGTTTTGCAGCTGTGGCTCAACAAATATCCCAGTCTCCATACAGTGAGCGAGTTTAGTTTTACTCCGCTTTTAGCAATATTCAAGCAATATCAGGGCGGGGGACACCAGAAATAGGCTTCACACATTGTACCCATGTCGGGATTCGAACCCGGGTCTTCGGTGTGACGAGCGAATGCCTTCACCACTAGGCTACCTGACCATCCCATACAAAGTCCCAGCCCTAAAGAGTATCAAAAGGTCAGTCCACAATGCAAACACTTGGGATGATCCATATCTTTGGATTTTCAGCATCTGTGAAGTCTTCACGTAATGCAAAGCATGAAATAGGACAGTAAAACCTAGGTATCACAAAATATACTCTCTTAAATCTTGTCACACATTTACGACAATGGTCAGATCATTCAGTCTTCCTGGCAAGCAAATCAGTTATTGACAACATGCAGTTATTTCCTATAAATACAAAACATATTTTTTCAAAAGATATTGGCTATGTGATACAACAAACTCGAACCAATCACAGGATGACCAAAAACATTGAAATAATTCATACATAGAAATGTGAAAAATTGAAACAGTGAGGAGTGTATGAACATGATGAGTAAGAGTGAGTGAGTTGGGTTTAACGACGCTTTTAACAGTATTCCAGTTATATCACGGCGTGTCAGCTTAATGTGGGAGGAAAGCCCGAAGTGATGCAGGTCTCAGACGTTTACCACTTCGGTGAAACCCGCGAGCAAACAAAGCTAGAAACATAATCGAGGTGAACTGGGTTTGGAACCCACAATAATAGGTTTCTGGTGTGCCCAAGGGACGCAACTCTGCATAGCAAATCGCGGCACCTTAGACGACTGAGCCACCCATGCCCCCTGATGAATATGATGAATTCTACATGGACAGAGGCAAATGATAAAGGGAGTCTTTGAGCCATATTAAAACACTTCCAGTGCCTTCATCCCGCCTGTCCTGTCCAGACCCCCAGGGTCACAGACACATAAGTTTTCATTATTTGGTTTGTGTGATAGAATTGTTTTGTAGAACAATCGTCTTTCCTTACTATCAAATTTCTTCCCATCCAAAATGTAAAAGTTGATTAGACTAGCTCCCCACAGCAATATCACGTTTGCAGAGCTCTCTATAATATCGCTGCCACCAGTTGAAGCTCCCAACTGTGATAGGTGGCTACAACCATGCTTGGAGATGAACTCGCAACTGACCGACCGTTATGTTTAAGTACAAGTCATGACTACCGTGACGCCGAATACTCTTACCCCTGCTAAATTATTTTCTTTCTTTGTCAATTTGAATTTCTATTTCTTTAAATTATCATGAAATTGGTATAGTAAGAATGTAAGAGAGAAGTTGGTTGATTTTCCATTAGTCTGCAAACTCGAATTAATCCGATCACACAAACAAAAAGGTTAATTCATCTGGGAAACATGGTCAGTCGTAATCCTTTCCAAACTTAACTGCAATGGCATTCCCAAAGATATAAACAAAACGTTACTACATTTGGGGTTAGATGGCAAATTTCAAGATTCTTGTAATGGCCGCACCCACACTGGAGGCAGCGATGTTACCGAGAGTGTGATGAATGTGTCCCTCACTGGGGAGGAGCTTGTTGATTTGAGTGAAAGGGGAAGTAACTCTAAACAGCATGGACTTAAATTTCATTTCATGAAAGTTTCATCAAACCAAATTAATATGAGATGACTATATAAAAAATGTTGAAGCAATTTTTTATTAATATTTATTAGGACTCTCATCCACTGGTTATGAAATCAAAATCTTCCGATTAGTAATAAGAAAAAAAACACCTGCCACCTGCCACTAGTTAGCGAGATGTGATTCGTAACACCTTACACAGGCCACACAAGACATTTAGACAAACATATGTCATGAAATGACAAACTTTCATTTAAAGAGTGAGTGAGTGAATATGGTTTTACGCCGCTTTTAGCAATATTCCAGCAATATCACGGCAGGGACTTTCATTGAGAAAATATCCTAAAGCATGCAGACGTATTTCCTTTTGCGTATTTACCTTTTGTTTACACTGGATGTACAGCTCCAGGTGCTGTGGTCAAAGACTTATGGAGAGCGATACGATATAAAGATATATATTGTCATGAACCTCACTGTTGTTGTAGTAGCATATCTATATAATTGTGCAAAACAATATTTAAAGCGCACAGAAAGGCATCAGACCAATCTGTTCTGATTTCAGAACAAATCGCATTAGTTCACAAACAAGAGAAAAGTGCAGTTGCAGTCATGTGATATGCAAATAAGCCTGAGGCAGTGGTATAATGTTAAGTCATCACTGCGCCGAAGTGTGGGTGAGTGAGTGAGTTGGGTTTAACGCCGCTTTTAACAGTATTCCAGTTATATCATGGCATGTCAGCTTAATGTGGGAGGAAAGCCCAAAGTGATGCAGGTCTCAGACGTTTACCACTTCGATGAAACCCTTGAGCACGGGTATGGTGCTGACAAACCTAGAAACATAATCGGGGCGAACCAGGATTCGAACCCACAATCATCAGTTTCTGGCGTGCCCAATGGCCCAAATCTGCACAGGGAATCACAGCACCTTAGAAGAACTGGGCCACCCATGCCCCTCGGAGTGTGGGCTTGTAAAACAATGCTTCCAAAACCCCTCCACTGAATTGGGCACATTACACACTCTCTGCAAACATAACCAGTATTTTTAACCACATGTTCAGTAAGCTGAGCTATTGTCTATTCATAAGCCTAAATTCTACCTAAAATGATGTTGAAAGACAAGTTAGGTGTAGCAGACCCAAAAGATTTTGGCGCAGAATGTTTGCATTAAATATACATAAATTAACAACCATAAGGTAAGCATGGTAAGCAAGAACAAAGTATGTTAACAATTACGTTTAACAAACGAGCAACACACCTTCTTTTCACGTGTTTTATCTAACGTCTTTGAAGACATAAAGGGCTCATCACAGACCAATATGAAATCCTCCTATTCTATTGTATGCCTGGTTCTGAAGCATTATCATAGCAGGGGCACGAAGAACCAGCTCTACAATGGGATTCAAACCCATGACAGCAGGCAAGAGCATAACCACACGGCTACCCCCATACCTTTTAATAAGAGACAAATCTCAAACTGGTTTTCCAGCAGACATACACATGAATTTGTGCCCACAATAATGTAAGAGAATGTTTGGCAATTCAGTAAACGAATTGTGTAAACAAATCATCATTCCACCATTTGTACACAAATTTCAGTTAAAAATAAATATTTATTCTTTGATCAGGAACTAGCTGTAACATCAAGAATTTGATCAATGATCGAACAGCAACAAACGTGAGTTCACATTTCAAAAACTATTTTAGCAGTCTGTTACAAATTTGGTATAAAAAATGTAAAAACTGTCAGGTTGCATTGCTACGCCGCCCAGTATAAAATCAAGGAAAAATGTCATAGCATTTGTGTTTGCCATGGGCAACGTTTCACATGTATATGTTTGAGACAATGTATTCGAACAGGGTTATTGAGGGATAGCCGTCAGTATCACCTCTTTTCTCCATCTCTTCGCGAATCATATTGCAGTAACCTTTGACCTCTGACATCAGTCGTCCCACAGTCCAGCCTAGTGATTGGATGACAGCCACTATCTCATCAAACTGCAGGCAGAGACAACAACAAAAACATTAAATCTAACGTTCACATTTGTCCGCAAAACAAGAAAATTGTTACAAAATGGTGAGGCCTAAACAAAATAGAGACTTGACATAGCAAAATGGATCTTACTTATTTCGACACAAACACCCACATATAGCAGGGCTCAATTTAAGGAAGACCGCCTCCGTGATCTAGTGGTAGAGCGTCCGCCCGGAGAGCGGAAGGTCCGGGGTTCGATCCCCGGCTGCGTCATACCAAAAGACGTTAAAAGATGGTACTTGTCGTTACCCTGTCTGGCGCTCGGCATTAAGGGGCTAAAACAAGGACTGGTCGGCTCGGAGTCAGTATACTGTGTCTGAGTGGGGTATTCATGTTAAACAGCGGCATGGTATCTCAGTGAGCTAGCACTAGAAATCGGCATAAGTCCGGAGTACTACAAGCAGCCACACAAACACACAAACACACACACGTACATGCACGTTGCTATATAAGTGCGATAATCTTGGACGCCACGTTAAATACCATTTCACCTCACCTCACCACCTCAATTTAAGGAACATAATTTAACTTGCACCCGGTGCATATTAACATGAAAACCAAGTTGCACCAGGCAAAACCAGGTTGCAAGCTGGTCCCATAAATTTATCACAGTTGAAACAAAGCCCGTCTGCTGTAGGTGTCACATAAATTAATGACATATTGCCGTAAAATGTCATAGGAACATGTGTACACAATATTGAGATAGCCACAGTTTGATGACGTCAACATGACAAATTACACGAAACACAGGGATTAGTGATGTAGTATGGTAAATAAAATTTAGAGGTATTGAGTGTGTTCAAAGATAGATCTTGTGTGGACAAGTAAGTGAGCAAGTGAGTTGGGTTTAAAGCCGCTTTAACATTATTCCAGTTATATCACGGGGTGTCAGCTTAATGTGGGAGGAAAGCCCAAAGTGATGCAGGTCTCAGACGTTTACCACTTCAGTGAAACCCACGGGCACGGGATTGGTGCTGACAAACCTAGAAATTGGTTAACCTATAATCGGGGCGAACTGGGATTCGAACCCACAATCATAGGTTTCTGGCGTGCTAAGGGACGCAACTCTGCACAGCGAATCACGGCGCCTTAGAAGACTGGGCCACCCGTGCCCCCGTGGACAAGTAAGGGTTAGTTAGACACATATTTGAAATATTTTCACATCCCTTGGTGCCTGTACACATAATCATAAGGTTTTTTTAATGGAGATATTTTTTTCTGTTGCATCCCAAGGGACGCACAATAATATTCATTGTACCAAATTCTTGTCAGCACCATACCCGTGCTCGTTTCACTGAAGTGGTAAACGTCTGAGACCTGCATCATTTCGGGCTTTCCTCCCACATTAAACTGACACGCTGTGATATAACTGGAATACTGTTAAAAGCGGTGTTAAACCCAACTCACTCACTCACTCTTGACAAGAAATATCAAAATCCTGTTAATAAAGTTAATCTTACAATACACTGGTAGTACACTACACCATTTTATTACTTTACAGGACCCACATATTTCTTAAGGAAATTAATTATTGGGGGACCCCTTGACCCCTATATTTGTAGGTGAAAGTAAACCCCTGGTATTGTCTCACCTGTATCAAGCGCCCATCGTTAAAGGTGTAGTAGTGCAGCCCAGGTGCCTTGACGAGGCTGGCGGCCATCCACTGGAGGAGGGACTTGAGTTGAGGGTCTCCGCCAAAGGCCCCACATCCCCAGTTGCCAGACGAGATCGGCAGCCCCCGGGATTTGAGCCGACTCTGTAACCACATGAACTAACAGTCAGTTCATTTCAATCTTGTTTGAATGTTTGTTACTATGGTTACTGCTCAGTTAGTCCTGCACCATGACTGTGGAATTTATATTTTTTAGGTATTTTATTTTACTAAAAGCCTAGCCAAGTCTAGATCAAACTAACCAAGTCTAGTTTGCTTGATTCCACAAAACAGCAGAAGGGGAAAGGTTCTTTCGAAAAAAGATTTTTATTATTTAAAGACATGTTTTCATTGACTGCTCATCCAAAGGGGGACTTTCACAATTTGTTCATCGTTGTTGAGGTCTTATTTTTATTTTTACTTGGTTTACAGAAATGTCAAAGGTCTTCAGGTCAGTAGTGATCATGGTGAGAAAAATATTTTTTAAACATATAATATATATTTATATTGTTTTCTCAGTATTTTGAGGATCCATAAACCAAAACAAAGACCCAAGTAGTATTAATATGAGCCTGCCTTTCACACAAGTTATTTAAGATTATTTGCAATGAATTCCCCATTCTCTTCTACTCAATTAGGCCTATAAAGCAACATGCATTAAGGTCTAGGGTTGTCCTTAAACACAATAAACTGTGTCTACTGATAATCAGTGATTAACCTGAATGGAAAGTATGGAAGCACATTTAGAGTTATCCACATCTTGACCGGATCATATATAGATGTTACATCTACACACAAATAGAATAGAATGAATACATGGCATGCCCACATATTTATCTTTGAAACACTGAAATTATACCAGGATGTAATGCCACGAGCTTAGAAAAGAGAAAATCAAATAAAAATAGCTTCAAAAAAACAAACTACTAAAGCTAAAAAAAACTGGTTCCCATGCCTCAAACTGGTCTTAGAGCTAAGATTGAAGCAAGTAAAGACTTGAGTTTGTTTTAACATAACAACCAATCAGAGACCTCATATCACTGAGTAGTGGACATCTTAACACCACTTGATTTGAAAGCATGGCTCTCATTGGTCAGTAAAGTTTCATTGCAGAATGCTTCTTGTTACTGTTGCATTAACAATTTGCTCATGTATTTAATTCTCATAGGAATTGTGGGAAGACAAGCCTATTAGCAAGTCAAGCCTATTAGGACAATTTTAGGCTCAAAATCGTAACTACATGTATTACCATGAATACACCCAAACCGTAATAATTAGCATCTCTGCACATTCTATATTGTTCCCAAATATTTAAAACATTTAAAACAGCTTTAAGACACTTTGCAAGACAATAAGTCAGTGTCCTAAAAATAATGTGAGAGGTTGCTTTACCTTGCATTTGGCGTGCTTCTGCAGAACGTCCATGGCCTCCTTCATGAGCTGTCCAGAGAGAGTGTCGGCAAACTCCTCTACATGAGCAAACGGGACATCCAGGGCGTCAGTGAAGTCAGGTTGATCAGCCGAACTGTCACCCACAACCTTGGAAGAGTTGGAGATGACGCTGGAGACTTCGTCAAAAGACATCCCCTGTAAACTCTCCAGCGCTGAACGTATCACAGCGGTAGCCAGCTCGTCTGCATACGAATGAACGCGCTGCGACCCTGCTAGCTCCTCCCGTTCCATATCAATACGGGCATCTCTGTAGATGATGTTCACTGCCTGGTTGAGGATGTCATTAGCAAACATGTCCGCGAAGTCTTCAATCTCATCAACACTGTGATAATACCCTGACCGGTACAGCTCTTCTTGACACTCCGTCCCAACCTTCTTTGGAAGAGGAAACCAATATTCTGTTTCAGAACTTTCTGAATGAGTCAGTTTGTCTCGCCCCTTGCGAGACCCCTTGGACCTAATACTATGACGAGGACTGGACGGCTGGCAGAAGCTGCTGTTGAGGAGCTCATTCTCTAGATTAGCCAGAGTCGTGTCTCGGAAGCCACTCAGGCTGCTCCGCCGTGACCCTGTCGTGCTGCTGTTTGTCTGAGCGCCCATGAGCAACAACGGCGGCACAGTGGTGTCGGCCTTCATCAGCTCCTCTGCAAACTTGGACAGGATGGGATCTTTGAATCCACAGGAACTCCTTCTGCGAGAGGTCGGAAAGCTGCTCCATGAACCCCTTCGAGACGACTCTCCTCTCACCCTTTCCAGATCGTCATCCGTCCGGGAGATCTTCCTCCTCTTGTCCTCGTCCATGGAAACTAGTTTATTGGAATTGTAAGCCTGAAGGGAAAGTTCCACGCTTATATGACAAGGCTCACTGCTACGTCGCTCATAGCTCTTAATGTGCCGTCTGTCCTCGACATTCAGGAATGCTTTAGTTAACATCTCGCGACTTAGTTTCTTTGTAAGAACCCCAACGTTTGGTAGACCAGCACGAGACATTTTTTCCGATTCCTGGGGTTTGATTACTTTCACAGGATCCTTACCATCGCTCACACTGGACAAGGTATCACTCAATCCTTTGAAAGACCCTCTGGTGCCGAGACTACGAATGCTTGTGTTCCTCCCATTGATGCTATGGTTGCCTGGACTTGTAGCTGCTAGAGATTCGAGGTGGGTTGGGAGGGTTTGAAACACATGGTCAACAATTATTGCAGCAGCTGCATGATAATCAACCTTGATCTCAAAGTCATTTGGAATAATCTTGTCTAATTTACTTGGAATGCTGCAGCCTGTTTCCTCCCCCTGGTCAGGCTTTGGGGTGGAGGACCGAGTATCACAGGATAATGACTGAATGTTTTGTACCTCTATCACAGAACCGGATATACGACCATCAGAGGGTAATGTGCAACCTGCAGAGGACCTCCTGTCAGAAACACAATCATCAGAAGGATTCTCTTCATGGAGATCTTCAGAGTGCCTCTTATCAGAAGTACACCCATCAGAGAGCCTCCTGTCTGAAGTACACCCTTCAGAGAGCCTCCTGTCTGAATAAGAGTCTTCAGAAGGCTTCCTATCAAAAGCACAACCCTCAGAGGGCCTCCTGTCAGAAGAAGAGTCTTCAGAGGTCCTTCTGCCTGACACTGACAAAGAGCAACTGGAGGAGAAGGAGGCTGAGGAATTGTTATGGGATGAGCTTGAGGAGGGGGGATCAGCAGATTGAGTAGATGAGGCGGCAGTGGGCGGGTCGTCATGAGCAGGAGAGTTAGGCAGCTCCTCCCCAGTCAGTTCCTGAGACACATGGAGGAAGACCTGCTGCACGATCTGGTCAGCGTACCACTCGTACATGCGGTCAGTTGGAAGATCTTGATGGGAAGGTAGGGGGCTAGGTAGGGGAGATAAGGCAAGTTGGACCACATCCTGGAAGGCGGCAGGGAGAGTTGCATCCAGTAGGGACTGGGCATAGTTTTGTAGGAGTGGTGGAGGTTCTTCAGTGTCTTCTTCACAGTCAGACACTGACGCAGGCACATCATCTACTTCAATGTCGATCGATGGATCGGGGCGGAGAGCACATGGCTTGACGGCGTTATCGGGAGGAGCTAGATGGCTGAACATCTGCATCCCTGGAATGGGAGATGTGAGAGTGAGTGAGTGAGTGAGTGAGTGAGTGAGTGAGTGAGTGAGTGAGTGAGTGAGTGAGTGAGTGAGTGAGTGAGTGAGTGAGTGAGTGAGTGGAAATCCAGTATTTTCTCCATTCACTTTACCCATGGAACACCTGTACAAATCAAGTACGTCATAAAAGAACGGTCTTTCCATCATGGGCAATTGGTGAGTGAGTTAGATTATTGCCGATTTGGACAGTATTCCAGTTTTATCCCGCATGTGAGCTTGGTGTATTAGTGAGTGAGTGAGTTGGGTTTCACGCGGTTGTGAACAGTATTCCAGTTTTATCACGGCATGTCAACTTAATGTGGGAGGAAAGCCCAAAGTGATGTACATCTCAAAACCTTACACTTTGGTGAAACCCACGTATGGTGCTGACAAACCTAGAAACATAATCAGGGTGAACCGGGCTTTGAACCAATGATCCTAGGAAAATTGCATCTCCTTATCAGACAGGATCCATGCAGTCGGGGTACAAAGATATGCTATCAACCAAGACACCAAGCCTGACCACTTGATCCTTTTGGTCGCCTTTTATGATCGGTATGGGTTGGGGTACCTATTCTAATCCAGAATCTCCATAGAGTGGACCAGCATGGGTTGGGGGACTTATTCTAACCCGGAATCCCCATAAAGTAGACCAGCATGGGTTGGAGGACCTAGTCTAACCTTGAATCCCCATAGAGTGGACCAGCATAGGTTGGGGGACCTAGTCTAATCCAGAATCCCCATAGAGTGGACCAGCATGGGTTGGGGGACCTATTCTAACCCGGAATCCCCATAGAGTGAACCAGCATGGGTTGGGAGACCTATTTTAATCCGGAATCCCCATAGATTGGACCAGCATGGGTTGGGGGACCTATTATAACCTTGAATCCCCACAGAGTGGACCAGCATTGGTTGGGGAACCTATTCTAACTTGGAATCCCCATAGAGTGGACCAGCATGGGTTGGAGGACCTAGTCTAACCTTGAATCCCCATAGAGTGGACCAGCATAGGTTGGGGGACCTAGTCTAATCCAGAATCCCCATAGAGTGGACCAGCATGGGTTGGGGGACCTATTCTAACCCGGAATCCCCATAGAGTGAACCAGCATGGGTTGGGAGACCTATTTTAATCCGGAATCCCCATAGATTGGACCAGCATGGGTTGGGGGACCTATTATAACCTTGAATCCCCACAGAGTGGACCAGCATTGGTTGGGGAACCTATTCTAACTTGGAATCCCCATAGAGTGGACCAGCATGGGTTGGAGGACCTAGTCTAACCTTGAATCCCCATAGAGTGGACCAGCATAGGTTGGGGGACCTAGTCTAATCCAGAATCCCCATAGAGTGGACCAGCATGGGTTGGGGGACCTATTCTAACCCGGAATTCCCATAGAGTGAACCAGCATGGGTTGGGAGACCTATTCTAACCCGGAATCCCCATAGATTGGACCAGCATGGGTTGGGGGACCTATTCTAACCCAGAATCCCCATAGAGTGGACCAGCATGGGTTGGGGGACCTATTCTAACCTGGAATCCCCATAGAGTGGACCAGCATAGGTTGGGGGACCTATTCTAACCTGAAATCCCCATAGAGTGAACCAGCATGGGTTGGGGGACCTATTTTAATCCGGAATCCCCATAGATTGGACCAGCATGGGTTGGGGGACCTATTCTAACCTGGAATTCCCATAGAGTGAACCAGCATGGGTTGGGGGACCTATTCTAACCTGGAATCCCAATGGAGTGGAACAGCATGGGTTGGGGGACCTATTCTAACCCGGAATCCCTATAAAGTGGACCAGCATGGGTTGGGGAACCTATTCTAACCCGGAATCCCTATAAAGTGGACCAGCATGGGTTGGGGGACCTATTCTAACCCGGAATCCCCATAGAGTGGACCAGCATGGGTTGGGGGACCTATTCTAACCTGGAATCCCTATAAAGTGGACCAGCATGGGTTGGGGGACCTATTCTAACCCGGAATCCCCATAGAGTGGACCAGCATGGGTTGGGGGACCTATTCTAATCCAGAATCCCCATAGAGTGGACCAGCATGGGTTGGGGGACCTATTCTAATCCGGAATCCCCATAGAGTGGACTAGCATGGGTTGGGGGACCTATTCTAATCCAGAATCCCCATAGAGTGGACCAGCATGGGTTGGGGGACCTATTCTAATCCGGAATCCCCATAGAGTGGACTAGCATGGGTTGGGGGACCTATTCTAATCCAGAATCCCCATAGAGTGGACCAGCATGGGTTGGGGGACCTATTCTAACCCGGAATCCCCTAAGAGTGGACCAGCATGGGTTGGGGGACCTATTCTAACCCGGAATCCCCTAAGAGTGGACCAGCATGGGTTGGGGGACCTATTCTAACCCGGAATCCCCTAAGAGTGGACCAGCATGGGTTGGGGGACCTATTCTAACCTGGAATCCCCACAGGGTGGACCAGCATGGGTTGGAGGACCTATTCTAACCTGGAATCCCCATAGAGTGGACCAGCATGGGTTGGGGGACCTATTCTAACCTGGAATCCCTATAAAGTGGACCAGCATGGGTTGGGGGACCTATTCTAACCCGGAATCCCTATAAAGTGGACCAGCATGGGTTGGGGGACCTATTCTAACCTGGAATCCCCATAGAGTGGACTAGCATGGGTTGGGGGACCTATTCTAACCTGGAATCCCCATAGGGTGGACCAGCATGGGTTGGGGGACCTATTCTAACCTGGAATCCCCATAGGGTGGACCAGCATTGGTTGGGGGACCTATTCTAACCTGGAATCCCCATAGGGTGGACCAGAATGGGTTGGGGGACCTATTCTAACCCGGAATCCCTATAAAGTGGACCAGCATGGGTTGGGGGACCTATTCTAACCTGGAATCCCCATAGAGTGGACTAGCATGGGTTGGGGGACCTATTCTAACCTGGAATCCCCATAGGGTGGACCAGAATGGGTTGGGGGACCTATTCTAACCCGGAATCCCTAAAAAGTGGACCAGCATGGGTAGGGGGACGTATTCTAACCTGGAATCCCCATAGAGTGGACTAGCATGGGTTGGGGGACCTATTCTAACCTGGAATCCCCATAGAGTGGACCAGAATGGGTTGGGGGACCTATTCTAACCCGGAATCCCTATAAAGTGGACCAGCATGGGTTGGGGGACCTATTCTAACCTGGAATCCCCATAGAGTGGACTAGCATGGGTTGGGGGACCTATTCTAACCTGGAATCCCCATAGGGTGGACCAGAATGGGTTGGGGGACCTATTCTAACCCGGAATCCCTAAAAAGTGGACCAGCATGGGTAGGGGGACGTATTCTAACCTGGAATCCCCATAGAGTGGACTAGCATGGGTTGGGGGACCTATTCTAACCTGGAATCCCCATAGAGTGGACTAGCATGGGTTGGGGGACCTATTCTAACCTGGAATCCCCATAGGGTGGACCAGAATGGGTTGGGGGACCTATTCTAACCCGGAATCCCTAAAAAGTGGACCAGCATGGGTAGGGGGACGTATTCTAACCTGGAATCCCCATAGAGTGGACCAGCATGGGTTGGGGGACCTATTCTAACCTGGAATCCCCATAGAGTGGACCAGCATGGGTTGGGGGACCTATTCTAACCTGGAATCCCCATAGAGTGGACTAGCATGGGTTGGGGGACCTATTCTAACCTGGAATCCCCATAGGGTGGACCAGCATGGGTTGGGGGACCTATTCTAACCCGGAATCCCTAAAAAGTGGACCAGCATGGGTAGGGGGACGTATTCTAACCTGGAATCCCCATAGAGTGGACTAGCATGGGTTGGGGGACCTATTCTAACCTGGAATCCCCATAGGGTGGACCAGCATGGGTTGGGGGACCTATTCTAACCTGGAATCCCTATAAAGTGGATCAGCATGGGATTGGGGACCTATTCTAACCTGTAGTCCTCATGGTACAACCAGCATATTTTGCTGGGGACCTATTTTAACCTGGATTCTTCATAGGATGGACCAGGATAGGTTGCTAGGGACCCATTTTAACCTGGAATCCCTATAGGGTGGAAGGGCATAGGATGCTGGAGAACTATTTCAACCTGGAATCCCCATGGTACGACCAGCATTGAGTTGATGGAGACCTATTTTAACCTTGAATCCCCACTGGTGATACAAGACGTGAAACACCAGAACGTACCTGGCATCATCTGAGCTGCTGTGGAGGTGCCTTCTTGCATCAAACAGGCCACCAACTTGGTAGCAAAATCAGCTATCCCGGCCTGGCCCGTCTCCTCCTCGATAGTGCCGTGCCTATTCTTTTCATTCTTCAAGTAAGACTCATAAATTTCTTCTAAATCTGAACTCAGGTCGGAACTATGTTTTGTGCTCGAACTACTTCTCCGGGAAACATCACTCAAGTTGGAGCTCCGCCTCCGGAAATTGGACAACCAATCAGCATAATCTACATCCAACAGATCACTGCTTCCATTGGGAGGCTGGGGTGGGATAGTTCGGGAAACCTGGTTATGGTTTCTATCACAGGAACTGCCAGGATCATTGCTAGCATCTGATTGGTTCACTTCAGGAATGCTTATGTCTGATTGGCTAATACTGCCACTACTGGATTTTGATTGGTCAGATTCTTTGGTTTCTTCTCCTGACTTGTGTTTGTCTACCGATTCCTTTACAGCCTGGTGCATAGCTTGTGACAGTAATGTCACCACAAAATTAGACAAACGCCTTTTTCCTCCATCTGAAAGAAGACAAAATATAACTTTAAAATGTTTAATATTAGACCCTCAAAAATAATTGTGTTTCTGGTAAAGTGTTTGATTCATTATTTAAAGGGGACTGTGGTCCACAGTTAAGGCATCATTTCCTATCTAAATTTGGACTTGGTAAATCATCCATGTGTGTTTGTTTGTTTGTTGTATAACGCAAGTCAAGTCTGGACCATACAATCCAGTGATTGATATCATGAGCACTGATCCATGCAATTGCGATACAATGACATGCATCAACCATGGCCACATGTAAATAATCAAGTCTGGACCATACAATCCAGTGATTGTTATTATGAACGATGATCCATGCCATTACGGTTTGTTGACATGAACCAAATCACCGAGCCTGACCACCTGGGCACACTTGCACAAAACGATTTTAGCGCTAAGACTCTTGTAAGCCTATGCTAAAGTATGGGAGTTACGTGGATCTTAGCGCTAAGATCGCTTTGTGCAAGTGGGCCCTGATGTATTAAGGCCCCCCTTTGATCAGCATTAGTTGCTAGAGAATCTAGCTCAGAATCCTGCTGGGTCCTAAGATGAGTAATATTGAGGTTTCCCCTGATTGCTCGTGCTGTGCAGTGATCACTGAATTCTCCTACCTTCTTCTATAGGGCTTTGGACTGCAGTGTGATATTCCTCGTCTGTGGATGTGTTGAGGCCGTGAGATGACATGCTAAGCCGAGATGACGTGTCCAGGTCGGCCCCACCCACATCACAGAACCCAACCACAGCCTTGTTTAACTCCCGCATCACACAGCTCTCTGTGTACTGACGGAACTTGTCGTGCTTGAAGGGAGTGGCATCTATTGCACATAGCGTCCTTTTCACGTTTCCCCACTCATCTATCTGGGAAAGGGGAAAAGTGTCATCAGGAGAACTGTAATCTGGAAAAGTCCTAACCTGACATCTATCCCTGGGAACTGTTCCCAAAGGAAAACAGCCACCCTCCCCACTGATAATATAGTGAGCGAGATTTGGTTTAGTGCTGCTTTGAACAGTATTTCTGTTACATTACAGTTTCAGCTTAATGTCTGATGAAAGAGGAAAGTCTCATATGAGGCAGGTCTTAGAATTTGTTTGTTTGTTGTTTAACGCCCAACTCAGCAATATTCCAGCTATTTGACGGTGGTCTGTAAATAATAATCAAATCTGGACCAGACAATCCAGTGATTGATAACATGAGCATCGATCCGCGCAATTGGGATCGATGACATGCATCAAGTCAGCGAGCCTGACCACCCGATCCCGTTAGTCGCCTCTTACGACAAGCATAGTCGCCTTTTACGGCAAGCATCGGTTGCTGAAGACCTATTTTACCCCAAATCTTCACAGGTCACCTCTTAGAAGTGAGTGAGTGAGTTGGGTTTAACGCCACTTTTAACAGTTATATTACAGTTATATCACGGCGTGTCAGCTTAATGTGGGAGGAAAGCCCCAAGTGATGCAGGTCTCAGACGTTTACCACTTCGGTGAAACCCACGAGCACGGGTATGGTGCTGATAGACCTAGAAACATAATTGGGGCGAACCGGGATTGGAACCCACATTCATAGGTTTCTGGCGTGCCCAAGGGACGCCACTCTGCACAGACGACTGGGCCACCCGTGCCCCCCAGCTCTTAGAAGCTCACCACAAGCACTGGTATGGTGCTGATAAACAGGGACAAATAACCAGGGCGAACCATATCTTGAACCCACAACCCTCAGGTTCTGGCACATTTAAGAGACACAACTCTCCACAACAAATTGAAGCACATTTGACGATAAGAAATAGCAAGAATAACTTTAGAAATGTCTTGTCAATTAAAGGGAGGTAATTTGTTTGAAATTGTTAACCCTAGCCTCCTGTCTAAAACAATCATATTTTTCAAACCAAAACACATCTGGTTTGGACTAATTTCATTTCCGGAGCTCACCTCAGTATCATCCCTGTAGTCACCAACAAACTCCAGTCCGGAGGCGTAGCCGCTGTGTTGGGAGAACTGCTCGAAGCCACTGATTAGGATGGCCTCGTTGTCCTCCATGTTCTCCATGAACAACATGGACGCTATCAGCTCAGGACACGTACAGAACCTGATTTCCTCCTGCACCACAAAACATAACAAGACAAGACATAAATAAAAACATAATATGCTTTGTATTACAATTGTTTGAATTTCTTAGAAGATGACGGAAGACAAAGTAAACACGATTTATGGATAACAACTTCTTTAATGTACTATTATAGCATAGGCATTTCTTAGAAGTTGATGGATGATAAAGTAGACACACACAAAATGTGTCTACTTTGCACATTACAGTGGGTGAGTTGGGTTCAATGTCGCTTTTAACATTATTCCAGTTATATCGCGGCGTGTCAGCTTAATGTGGGAGTGATGCAGGCCTCAGACGTTTACCACTTCGGTGGGTATGGTGCTGACAAACCTAGAAACATAATCGGGGTGAACCGGGATTCGAACCCACATTCATTGCGTGCCCAAGGGACAAAACTCTGCAACGCGAATCGTGGCGCCTTACATGGCTGGGCCATCCGTGCCCCCTTGCATATTACAACTCCAATAGACACCAAAAAGGCAGACTAAATGGGTTTTTCAGATTAAAAACGATGTTTTATTGGTCTGTTTTCAGTCGTACAAATGGGTATCTCTCATACCCTCACGTCTAGTCGCACGTTTAGAGGAAGCCAGAAGCTGGAATGTAAACATTAAACTTGTTTCCGTCCGGTTGCGCACGCACCTCCCTATGACATGTCACAAATCTCGAAGAATAAGCCATCAAGTAGGACTGGACTGGATTACTTCCCTGTGGGGATGGCTGGGTGGGAACGTACGACTGAAAACAGACCAATAAAACATCGTTTTTAATCTGAAAAACCCATGTTTTAGTCTGTTTTCAGTCGTACAAATGGGTAGAATTCGACGGAACACTGGAAGGAGGGTCGGGAAAGTAATCAGGCAGTGACCACTTTCACGTCGAATGTACCAAGTTCCTCACCCCTGTAGTGACAATAGAACATTCGACCAGATGCACGGACGAGACAAGTTGTTTATCACGAACGCACAGCATGGTTAATGCTCTTCGACACACAACTAATTATCGATGCGACAGGCCAACTGCACGCGTCAGTTGAACTGCGATCGAAGTGTGGTCGACGAATAGTTTAGTTACAGAGCAACTCGCAGTATACAAGGTAACTTAAACAGCATGTTTAATGCTCTTCGACTCACAACTAATATCGAAGCGACAGGACAACTGCACACGTCAGTTGAATTGCGATCGAAATGTGGTCGGCGTATAATTTAGTTACAGAACTCGCCGTAGACAAGGTAACTAAAATAGCATGGGTAATGCTCATCGACACACAACTAATTATCGATGCGACAGTACAACTGCACACGTCAGTTGAACCCGGATCGAAGTGAGGTCGGCGCATAATTTAGTTACAGAGCAACTCGCAGTATACAAAGTAACTAAAAAATACAAGCAGTACTATAATGTATGGGAAGACGATGCATACACCGAATAACCATAATAAAAAGCAGAAGTACTGCACGCAACAAAAAACCATAAGAATGCGTACATTCACCAACAGCTTTTATTGTAACCCGTAGTATGTCACGAAGTGTCGAGCAAAAACTCCAAAGTGAATAAAACACGAATTCACTGTCTTTTCTGAGAGATCTGTTGTGCCACCACGAGTGGACCAAACTGTTTGAGTCCTTCAACCTCTTCTGTGGAGATATCTCTAAGATAATGCGAAGCAAACACTGAAGTAGACCTCCAAAAGCAGCCCTCCATAATAACTTGTAGCGAACAATTACTGTGGAGTGCTAATGTTGAAGCGAAGGCTCGAACTTCGTGCGGATGAGATGAGGTGGGAGGTGCGAGTCCTTGCGCCTCGTAAGCTCTGAGAATTACCGCTCTCAACCAAAATGAGAGAGTATTACGTGTAATCTCTTTCTTTGCATTGGTTGAGAGCTGTATGAACAGCCGTCGAAAATGTTGTCGTCGCTGTTCAGAACGCTGCAGGTAAATACGAAGCGCACGAACTGGGCACAAGGTGAGATCAGCGTGATCACGAGGGCCCATAATGGCAGACAAGGAAGGAAGGTTGAACATTCTCGGATCTTGGCCAGGAAGTTAATTTTTCGCTAAAAAATCCAATCGGAGACCAAGATGGACGTTGCCATGGTTACGCTGATCGAACGTAATCCGACCGACGTTAATGGCATGTATTTCCGTAATTCTCGCAGCCGTAGCCAGCGAGAGAAGGAAAAAACGTTTTCTGAGACAATAAGTCGAACGCGACCTTATCGAGAGGCTCGTAAGCCTGACTAGACAGGTTGCGCAGAACGACATCGAGGTCCCAGGCCGGCGGTCGGAATTTACGTGACTGATCTTCAACCATGAAGGCACGTAGAATCTTCTGCAACTCCGGCACGTTAGTGAGCTTGTCGCCCGTAGGAGACGGCACTACCGAAGCCAAAGCTGCCAGATATGTCGAGATCGTCGACCCTTTCAGACGCCGAGATGACCAGATGACCGGAGAGAGACTAGGAACTCCGCCACCTGTGGTGGGGTCGCTACCGCCGGGTTGAAGCCATGAGACCTGGCGAAAATGGAGAAAGTGGTCCACTTGTCATCTTACAGCTTACGAGTCGTAACTCGATGTGCCGACGAGACAAGCGCTGCCTCTTTAGCCGAATAGCCTTTCTTCATTAACGAGGTCTTAAGCAAACCCAGGCGTGAAGCTGGAAGTTCTTTATCCCCGGATGCAAGTCGTCGGTGTGAGGATGAAGAAGGAGGTCGTCTCGATCTGGCAACGGGAACAGTGGTTGAACGATGATCTGAAGAAGTTCCGGGAACCATGTTCTGGCCGGCCAAGAAGGCGCGACCAAAAGCAGACGTAGGTTGGCCGTTTGACGAACTTTCACCAGTTGCGATGGTAACAGCACCGTTGGTGGAAACGCGTAAGCGTCTAGACCCCCCACGATATCGCTAGAGCGTCGAGGTCCCATGCCCATGGGTCTGGAACCGGCGACACGAATCGAGGGAGGCGGTTGTTGTACGGGGCAGCAAAGAGATCTACTTGGGGCAACCAGAGTCGATCTGTCAGCAGATGAAAGACTGTCGGATGGATCATCCACTCCGTGGGAGACGGCCTCGATGGTCTCGACAGGGCGTCGGCAATCACATTCTTGGCCCCCGGGATGTGACGGGCGCGTACGCCCATGTCCAAGTCGTCGACGAGGGCGAAGAACCTGAATGTCCGGTCCAAAAGGGCCGCCGACTGAGTTGTTCCCTGTTTGTTGACGCAGTGGACGACTGTTGAGTTGTCCGACTGTATCATCAGCCGTTTCCGACGGAGTCGAAGTTTCCAAAACTCGACCGCCCGAAGCACTGCTTCCATCTCGAGGTAGTTGATGTGGAGGACCTTTTCTACTGGCGACCACCGCCCGGCCGCTTGGTCGTCCCCGAAGTGCGCTCCCCAGCCTTCCAATGACGTGACAACGAATAGGTGTAGTATGAACGGAGGCTCGCTCATAAAGACGCCCTCGCAAACGTTCGACGGCTGGAGCCACCACTCCAAATGACAACGTAGCTGCGCCGGAAGTGGAACCAGGAGATTGGGAAACACCAGGTGGGGGTACAGCAATCTCTGCAGCGGACGAAGTTGAAGACGACCTCGACGGGTCAAGTCTTGGGCCGATGTCAACAGACCGAGGACTACCTGCCACGTGTGCACCGACGACGAGGCATGTAGACGTCACGGAACGCTGCTGACAATCTTGTCCCAACGGTCTTGAGGTACCGGGACCAGATTGACTCCCGTCTGGAAGCGTATCCTAATGTACTGTAGAACCCGAGGTGGTACCAAGTCCGACTGTTGAAAGTTGACGATCCACCCGAGGTACCGTAGTAGACTCAGGGTGGTCGCCAACTCACCTTGAAGGGCTACTGTAAACTGGTGAGCTTGGAGCCCGTCGTCTAGGTAGAAGGCGACCCTGATCGCCTGCCGATGGAGCCATTCTACGACCGTCTTCATGATCCGTGTGAAAAAGCACGGGGCCGTAGAAATTCCAATCGGGAGGGCCGCCCACTGGTAATGAATACCTTGGCATTCGAATCGGAGGTACTTCTGGAACTCGGAAGCTATTGGTACATGTAGATACGCGTCCTGAAGGTCTAACGAGACGAGGAAGTCGTTCGGTAATATCATCCGACGCAGAGAGCTGAGGGATTCATGGTGAATGTGTCGGGTGGTTGGAGGTATGTTGCGTTGAGGAAAACCCACTTGTGGGCATAGTGACGAAGTCGCCCCCCTACCGGTAGCTCGTCTAAAGGTAGTGTCACCGGGGGAGACTCCAACCACGGCGACGGCGGGGGAAGGGACCTCACTTCCTCCCCCGCTGGTACTTTCCCCCTCTGGGAAACGTGGAAAAGGAGACCTGGCGACCTTTCCTGTCGGAACCTCCCTTGCGGGACGGCTGTCGAGGCACGTCCCTACGGAAGGCCCGTTGCACATTCTCGTTTCGGTAACGTCGTCGTGGGGCGTTCGAAACCGGTGGCCGTCTGGACAGGTTGGGTGAAGCCGAAATGATGATGTCACGCTCGGCTTCCCTGGAGTACTTGTCCAGAACGTCGTTGGTACGACCGTCGAACAACTGTTGCGATGTCCACGGGGCCCGTAAGAGTGACCTGCCATGACGATCAGGTAGGTCAGTGCAGTCTATGTAACCATGGCGACGCGCCGTAGTCTGGCTGTCGTCACAATCCATCGTCGACGTCGAGTGTGGAGACGTAGATGAAGGAGCTGCTGTACTAGTTGACGGGCCATGGACCCCTGATGTAGTCGTATCCTTCTTGGTCGACGCCGTCGAGGCGAGGACCGCCGCCGTGATCTGGGCTATCAAAGCCGGGTCGATATGAAAGTGAGACGAGGTCGTCGTTCTGTCACTATCTTCACTACGACGCTGAACCCCCAAACTCTCCCTGCGAGAACGTCGCACGTCCCCGTGGGGACGAGGGCTACGATCTCTAACTGTAGAAGTACTACGATCCCCAGTGTAGTTATCGTCCGAATCGTACATTCGACGACCACGATGACGATGAACGCCCTCGTGTCGTGTACTGTCTCTCGACGAGGCACTCATCCTGTCGTCCCGACTTGAACGGGAACGACTTCTGTGTCCACTGTCGTCCCGCACGACGTCCCTATCGTCGTTGGTAGAACGAGATGTGGACCGACTGGGGACCGTAGTCCCCTCATGGTCCTCGTCACCACCCGGTCCCGTCGTAACGGGGGAGGCTGAGTGACGCTCTCGATCAACCGAATGACGAAGACCAGTCGTGCGGGTAGTATCATCAGCAGGCGAAGGAGGGCTACGATCTCTAACTGTAGAAGTACTACGATCCCAATCGTAGTTATCGTCCGAATCGTACATTCGACGACCACGATGACGATGAACGCCCTCGTGTCGTGTACTGTCTCTCGACGAGGCACTCATCCAGTCGTCCCGACATGAACGGGAACGACTTCTGTGTCCACTGTCGTCCCGCACGACGTCCCTATCGTCGTTGGTAGAACGAGATGCGGACCGACTGGGGACCGTAGTCCCCTCATGGTCCTCGTCACCACCCGGTCCCGTCGTAACGGGGGAACTGAGTGACGCTCTCGATCAACCGAATGACGAAGACCAGTCGTGCGGGTAGTATCATCATGTCGAAAACTGAAGTTGACTGAGGCGGGTCTTTTTCAACTGATTTCTGAGGTGTGGTCGACTCGCCACCCCCAGGGCCTGATGCGGAGGGTGCATAGTCCAAGGATCCAACCGATGACCATCGCCGCTTGTAGCGCTGGTCAGCGGCCCGCTTCGCCAACGCACGAAGATACAAGTTAAAGTTTATTGAAGACAGTTTCTCACATTATTTACAACGTTTATTCCACGAATACGTTGAAAACCCGTCCTTAATGATGCAGGAAGGACAATACTTGTGAGGGTCTACTTTAGACAGTTTTCGTTGACACGAGGCACAAATGCCCGACATATTGCCACGTGTAGAATCACTGTCAAACAGCGAAACACGCGTTGAACACAAACAATGGATTACCAAGGATTACATTCCAGGAGTCTACAGGTAAGACATATTATGACTTTATTAGAACAACTGTAGATAAGCGATAAGTACTAGTAGAATACGAACTAGCAGTCTACCGCGAAAGACTTTCTCGAGCGACCAGCGCAGAGGCGCGCTGAGAGATTTGTGACATGTCATAGGGAGGTGCGTGCGCAACCGGACGGAAACAAGTTTAATGTTTACATTCCAGCTTCTGGCTTCCTCTAAACGTGCGACTAGACGTGAGGGTATGAGAGATACCCATTTGTACGACTGAAAACAGACTAAAACATGTACATTTTGTAGATAGTGCAATGTCTTTTCTCAGTTAGACCATAACAAATTATGTATTAGATTTTTATGCTTGCCCAAGCTCACTAGTGGTATTTCATTAAATTGAATTGATCAGAAGGTCAACACAAACTTATGTAAATTTTCCCCAAAAAACACAAACAAATCAATGTAGAGGTAACTGTATGTCGCTGATAACAGGACCAATAAAGGGAATGCTGAATTTTACCTGATTGCAATGTTAAAATACCTCAGAATTTCTAGAGAAAAAAACACATTTTTTTCCCCAATTTGCCTGTCAAAGGAACTTAGTTTAGAATCCTAACACAGCGATTTTAGTCATGTGTGGGTACCTGGGTCAATAAGAGTGAGTGAGTGAGTAGGGTTTTACGCCGCTTTTAGCAATATTCCAGCAATATCACGGCGGGGGACACCAGAAATGAGCTTCACACATTGTACCCATGTCGGGAAATGAACCCGGGTCTTCGGCGTGACGAGCAAACGCTTTAACCACTAGGCTACCCGACCGCCCCTGGGTCAATAAGATGATGTGGGTGGTTTGGTAGCGGTTGTAAAACCATGATTGAAGATTGAATCATCCCAGCTAATCTGTCAATCTGTCTATTATTTTGTTTTCTTCTGCCCGAAATTCGGAGCTAATTTAACATTGCAATAAAGTAAAACAAGTAAAATCCTAGATATTATTTACATTTGTATACTTATCCTGCATTACTCCTCAATGCATATTACTACTTGGTCTCGACAGAGAAAAGAGCTGTGTGAAGATTTTGTTTGAAGAAAAGTTCCAACTAGCTAAGAGGCAAACCCTACCTCATCATTGTTGTACCCTTGCAAGTGTATTGTTTTGTCATTGTATGTTGTCTTACGTTTTTCGTAATCTTGTTTTCATAAACCAACGTAGTAGGCAAACAAATTATAGCATATATAATCAGGCGGGGGTGCATTGTGATTTTACACTGCTTCATTGCAAATAACATGCCATCCTGTTCCAAGTGCCAGCGTCATATGTTGGCGTGGGATCCCAACCCTGTGTGCTTAAACTGTACATCCCCATGCCTCCAGTCTTCTCGATGTGAAGATAAGATGCAGGATAAGTAAAAAATATAAGCATTTAAGCCCCTTCCTCTTTATTGGTCTTGTTTTCAGTGATATACTTGGTTGGTTGGTTGGTTTGTTGTTTAACGTCACACTCAGCAATATTCCAGCTATATGACAGCGGTCTGTAAATAATCGAGTCTGGACCAGACAATCCAGTGATTGACATCATGAGCATCGATCAGTGCAGTTGGGATCGATGACATGTATCAACCAAGTTAGCGAGCCTGACCACCCGATCCTTTTAGTCGCCTTTTACGGCAAGCATGGGTTGCTGAAGACCTATTCTACCCCGGAACCTTCACAGGTCTTCAGTGATATACAGCTACCTAATAATTATAATCATATTAACATGAACTGGGGACGGCTATCAGTCTATGAGCAGGTGTAGTTAAACCTCTGTGCATGTTCCCTCATGTCTCTATTTGATGATATAGGATCACGTCCGTCAACACCTACATGCATACATGTCTTCAACAGTTTCTTCAAAAGAAACGTATATGTATAAAGCAAACTGCCTCCAACCTCAAAGTTTTAAAGATTTATACTAAAATCTAATGATTAATTTATTATGACTTCAGGTGTTTCATATAGCAAGAATAAGCTAGGTTATCAAGATTAAATTTGCAGACAAGAAATGAGTTGTTAATTCTAAGTTTGAAATGAGTTGTTAGGATAAGCATACCTGTACACGACCACGACCAAGCACTCCGCCTCCTATGGATCTGTTCGCAAAATCAACCTGAAAGAAAACGTACATTTCTGTATAATGTGTGTGTGTGTGTGTGTGTATATATGTATATAAATATATGCAAATGTTGAAAGAAAGACAAAAGCAAATTACACTAATGTAAAACCCAAGCCCTGACTAGTATAAGGTGTGGTGTAATGAGGTTTAACGTCGCATCCAAGATTATTGCACTTATATAGCGACGTGCATGCACTTGTGTGTGTGTGTGTGTGTGTGTGTGGTTGCTGTACTAGGCCTGACTGATTTATAGTGCTAGCCCACTGAGATACCATGCCGCAGTTTAACATAAATACCCCACTCAGACAGTATACTGACTCCAAGCCGACCAGTCCTTGTTTTAGCCCCTTAATGCCGAGCGCCAGATGGAGTAACAATAGGTACCATCTTTTAACATCGTTTGGTATGACGCGGCCGGGGCAGAAGTTTTGACTGCATGTAACAACTACCTCAATTGCTTCACTACCAAGATCTTCAATGAAGCCATCAGTGTGGATGAACATGGAGCACAGCTCAGCATCTGATGACGTCACATCTTCCGTAGTCAACAGCATCTCCGTGTCTATCACCTGCACACAAAACAACAGTCAGAGCTCAGCATCTGATGACGTCACATCTTCCATAGTCAACAGCATCTCCGTGTCTATCACCTGCACACAAAACAACAGTCAGAGCTCAGCATCTGATGACGTCACATCTTCCATTGTCACTCCATGTCTATCACCTGCACACAAAACAACAGTCAGAGCTCAGCATCTGATGACGTCACATCTTCCATTGTCACTCCATGTCTATCACCTGCACACAAAACAACAGTCAGAGCTCAGCATCTGATGACGTCACATCTTCCATTGTCACTCCATGTCTATCACCTGCACACAAAACAACAGTCAGAGCTCAGCATCTGATGACGTCACATCTTCCATTGTCACTCCGTGTCTATCACCTGCACACAAAACAACAGTCAGAGCTCAGCATCTGATGACGTCACATCTTCCATTGTCACTCCATGTCTATCACCTGCACACAAAACAACAGTCAGAGCTCAGCATCTGATGACGTCACATCTTCCATTGTCACTCCATGTCTATCACCTGCACACAAAACAACAGCCAGAGCTCAGCATCTGATGACGTCACATCTACAATAGTCAGCAGAATCTCCGTGTCCATCACCTGCACACAAAACAACATTACAGATGGCTTGGTCTCCACTGAGCTTAGACTCCCTTATTTGGCACACACATCTCTTAGGCCGTTCTATCATTAGTTGGTTTACAAAACAACTCATTCCTGGTTCTAAATACTGTTTGAATGTGAATCTTGAAGTCTAAGCTATGTACAAATTTAATGATACTTATATAAGAAGATATAGGCCCGAAGGTCCGGCTGCAGATAGACATGACATTGAGATAAAGGAGCTTCAGATGGAGTGAGTCTACTGTATTTCTGCTATGACACAGTATATCAGATAAAAGGGAAGCTGTGCTACAAAGTCTCGTGACCAATCGCTGTCTAGATGAAGTGAGGTGAAATGGGGTTTTCAGAGCTACAGATAAGCTGTGTATTTGCGTAAAATACCCACCCAAACTATTCAAAACCCAATTACTTTCAATTAAGTTGCGTACAGAAATGCTGCATGAATTAAAGGAAAAACTCAAATGTATATAAACAGCATGCGTAAATACCTAGTGAAGCTTTTTCAGCATGCATACAAAGGTGGTAATTTCCGAAATAATTACGGGCTTATTTAGTTATTTACTTTCCGAGTCAAGCCTAAAGTTAGAAACTTTATATACATCTAAAACATTAGTTGTTTTTTTGAAAATTTCAAAATGTTAACTCATTTTTGGAACACCCAATAGAGTGATGAATAGATGAATGAAAAAGTACTCAATGAAAATTGTAATAACCCAATTAAAATAAAAACCTTTGAGTAAAAACTCAATTGCTCAAAATGTTATCTGGTTATCTGGGTTTTGCATCATGTCCAAGCTTAATGCAGTTATATGGCGACATTGTGTTGGAAGGCCAAAATAACACAGGTCATCAACACTTACCACATTAGTGAAACCCAAAATTGAAAATTTTACAATAACTTGTATATTTATGTACTTATCCTATCATGCCTATCTCACACACTATTTGTTCTCCCAGCCATCCTTGCATCACAGTTGCGCTAGCCAGTCTGCTCTAAGTAAAAGAATAATGTGGTAGGGGGAGTCAGACGATCAGGTCGCTTCGGGACACAACGCACAGGATTGCAGTGCATGACTCATTTGTTTGGGTCACAACCATGGTAATGCTGGGATGTGTTTGGGTGAAATGTTTTTTGAAGCTAGAAACTTTGTTCTGGGACGTTTCCACACTAGGATCGAAAGAGAAAGAAAGAAATGCAAAGCATGAGATAGGATAAGTTAGAAATTGGCCTATATGGTTCTGACAAATCAAGAAACAAAACAGGTGTGAACCTGGGATTTGACCTATTGTCATGGGATCCTGGCATGGCTAAGGGATGCAACTCTTCACATCTTATACAACCATGCCAGAACAAGGATAATAACTGTGACAAATCTTGGGATTCAAACCCATGACCTACGTATCTTCACACAGCTAAGGGAGGCAACTCTACACACCTGCTGTTCAAACCTACTAAAAGTTCAAGTTCAAGATAACATCAATAATAGAGCATGATAAGGTGAAATCTGACAACAATACCTGTCTAGCGTAGGTGACGTTTCCTGTCAATGCTATACCAGGCTCGGTCACTCTTTCAAAGTAGTTCAAGATACACCGCATCTTAGCATTCTGTGATGACCTGAAACATTTTTACATATTTTTACATAAATTACAAAAGCGAAAAGGCAAAACAAGGATTAGGATTTGTGTCATAGGACTTGTGAGGAATTGAGGAAAAGACTGAAAGGTAGGACATACCAGTTACATATCAATTTGTTCCTCCATAACCATATGATAAATTTTGTTTGTTTGTTGTTTAACGCAGCACTCAGCAATATTCCAGCCATATGCTGGTGGTCTATAAATAATTGAGTCTAGACCACACAATCCAGTGATTGACATCATGAGCATGCATCAACCAAGTCAGCAAGCATGACCATCCGATCCTGTTGGTCGCCTCTTACGACAAGCATAGTCGCCTTTTACAGCAAGCATGGGTTGCTGGTGAGTGAGTGAGTGGGTAGGTGAGAGTGAGTGAGTGAGTGTGGTTTAAAGCCGCTTTTAGCAATATTCTGGCAAAGGGCAATATAAATGGGCTTCAAACTTATACCCATGTAGAGAATCGAACACAGGTCTTTGGTGTGACAAGCAAACGCAGTAACCACTAGGCTACCCACCACCCCATGGGTTAGACATGACTTACATTGGGAGCTGTTTAAAGAAGTTGGTGAAGTTGATGACATTGAGCTTGGTCCATCGACTCCTCTCTCTCTCCGGGAATAGACACAGGAAGGAGCAGGCCAAGATGGCTGCCACACATCTCTTGGAAAGTACACTACTGCCACCTGAGAACACACACACACAAAACTGTCAATGTTTTCACTTTCTTAAATGTGCACTTCCAAGAGTTACTTTGTATTTTGTAAATGACATACAATACTTCTTCTTTTGGGAGATGACATCATAGGGATTTATCAAGGATTCCAAGCAAAGTGCCCTCGGCAGACAGATTGAGAAACAAAGCATTAATTTGTGCAAAATGGGTAACGTGTTTGACGTAATAAGGTCCCTGCTCCAATAAGTGCCCACAGCAATATTTGCTAATATATTGGCTAGTGAACAATCCCAATAAGCACCCTTCCTTCCGATGGATCAATGTAAACAAGACTTATTTATTCGTGTATTATACGCAATCGTGTGTTATATGCACCCTTAATCACTGGCAAATAAAGATTGCATGTAATGCAATAATGTAAAACAGCATTAAAACCTGTTCCTATTTATTGATCTCTTTAAGAGTGAATGCAGGGCTTCACACATTGTACCCATGTGGGGAATCGAACATGGGTCTTCAGTGTGACGAGTCAATGCCTAAACCACTAGGCTACCCCACCGCCCTGGACATGATGGAGAAAAAACGGGAAAAAAATTGGCATGGTTAGCCAATCACTTGCCAGCAACTGAACCACATGCAATCAATTTGTTAAACTCTGAATGAATGCCGTATTTGACGTAATAAGCGCCCCGCTCTAAAAAGCGCCCACAGCGATATTTGCTAATACATGTACATTGGCTAGTGAACAATCCTATTTAGCACCCCTTCCAATTGATCAAAGTACACGAGACTTATTTATTCATGTATAATACGTTAATTATGGGAAATTAAATCCTGGAAAAATATATCTGTCATATATAAACATTACAGGCTGTCAGCATAAACCACAAAATTTACGATCTTTCAACTCTGTTATTTTTCACCAAAATAATATTCGGATAAGAGCCCCCTATTTCTAATTTCGAGAGCGCCCTGGGCGCTTATTATGTCGAATATGGTAAGCATAATGAAGGGATATGGTAGTTGCAGCTAGATATAATCGTAGTCTTCCCAATGTTAAAGGTCTTCCTTAGGTCAGTAGTGTTTGCTGATATGTTATTATAAATTTATTATTCAAGCAAGTATTGAGATAAGTGAGTCACTGACCTTTTGTAGATATGAAACTCACACATTTACCAAAGACATATACAGTGATCGCTCGCTATTGCGCTACCAATGGGGTCCAAATAATTGGTGGGCGTTATAGACGATGAGCCGTTTAACCGAGGCCGAGGCGGGGGAGCGCGCTCGGCAAATCTCAAATCATCAATAGTCCTATGTGTTTATCTCACGTCACGTCAAAATAGTATATATTTTTATGGACCTAGATCTACCTGTAATATCATTCATTTATTAAATCTGTCATATTTCACAATGTCTGAAATACGTATTCCATTCTAATTTATCATTTTTTATCAATAAATTAAAAAATTATTCACTATTTCCCGCGATGTTATTGAAAATAAAATTCTCGGACACACATTTCGACAACGGGTCCGCATCGAACATGTCAAAGAGCAAAATAAAGACTATTTTAAGCAAATCTTTAAATATATTATACAAAGTGATAAATAAAATCAACAAAAATATATCTAAAAGTAATCAAACTTACATCTAAGTTATTATTTCCATCGTTTCGTGCGGTCGCGTGAAACTTGTAGCAGATTTCGGCAAGAAAGCGTCATTAGAAACAAATTTTAATCCAATGAAATCGCTTGTTATAACTACGGGGAAAAAACAGGCGATGTTACGAAAGCACGATTACGAAATGAATGACCGCCGTGTTGTGACAGCAACTACATGTGTGTGACAGTTTAGCCTTAAATTGGATTGCCCACTAATTAAGAATATAAACTTCACTTGTGGTTCTCTTTTATTGCATGCATGCGCTTCTAAGATCAAAGGATGTATAGTGTGAAAAGTTAACTAGTAGAACAATCGTATTTCCGGGACCTGCCGCGGATGTTTTCAAACAGATTATTAGAACTCCATTCAGCGATAAACCGTTGATTATGCAATGAGAAGCGTTTTGTGCAAATAAACAACGAACAACAATACAATCATGTCTGTGTAAAACTCTCAGTATTAAAAGTGTACATAAATTTTGGGAGTCATGCGTTACCGCGCGTAATAACCGAAGTAGCGCTTTATCGAAGAGCGCAATAACGAGCGATCACTGTAACATTAATGACAAACTCACATTTCTGTTGTTCGCTGAATATGAAATCTGACGGTATCAACTTTTCAGACTCAATGACTAGATCACAGATTCCAGGAATCACCGTAAACAGAAACTTATCATTTTCTTCTTCTGTTGCTTTCTTAATAAATTTCCAAACGCCGAACCATATGCAGGACTGGTCAATCTTGCTCCGTTTGTCCCTTTTTGACCTGGTCTTGTTCACCAAGCTATTTGATGAGTTTTGTAGTCCACCGTCATACAGAACCGTGTCATGGTTAGTGACATATACAAGCTGCACATGCCGCACGATATCTTCAGCATCAAAGGCCTCTGACAAACAGTTTTCTTTGAGTTCGTTCAGAAGGACCTTGACCTCCTGCCAGTTTGGGAGGTCAAAGGGGAAGATTGGACGGCTGAGATTCATGCTTTTGCTGTTAACAGCCTCTGAAGTTTATGAAAAAAAACATTAATCAGGATGTTACAATATATCACTGCAATTATTAACTGCAATACATATCAATACGATCTAGACATGCTGGATGAACCAGTGTCTTGAATTAATTATTTCAAATAAAATGCATTGTCAGCATAGGTGAAGAGAGATGAGTTTACATTATAAATATATTCCTGCAATATCACAGTGGGGAACACCAGAAATGGCTTCACACAATATGTCCTCATCTGGGGAATCAACCCAGACCTCCACCATGAAGAGCCAACATTTTAACCTCTAGACTACCCAACTGGCCTGTCACAACAAGAATGTAGAAAACAAGTGGAACAGGAAATATTATGTATCATAATCAAACAAAATAGATACTAAATTTATACAATATATAATATAATACTAAACATCCTACGCATCATTGAAAAAGCAGTTAAAAAATATGTACCCACTAAACATGCTGAATTAGTTAGCTGAACAAACATATACATAGAGAAAGATGGTATTTATGTGAGCAGGAGGGAGTGGATCCTATGTCTAATGGTTTTTCAGACGAATAGGTTGGCAAGAAGGCTCACTAAAATATGCTGCAGCACAAGTTTGGCTGTCTGAGACTAGGAAAATTCAGATTTGGACTAGTGACATTTCCTTGTGGACTACCACTTTTACCATTAGCGTAGGTAGATGGCAGATCATTGTTGCCACTGGTTTGCAGACTAATGAAAATCGAAATTAACTTCTAACTTTTTCCATGTTTTCAAAGTGAACTAACAAGTTCTGTATTCAACAATTCCATCAGAAAGGTTTTATTGTATCATCATAATAACTTGTAGTGATAGCTGCATGATCTTATCAATCATCATCAAGTTACTCGGTTCATATATCAATACAGGGACTTTCCAATAATGACAGCTCTTTACAGATTACATACAATCATGACAAGCACAAGTATACATTAATTGTTTTAAACATGCCGCCTCGAATAAACGCAGGGTCTCGATAAAATGCCAGGTAGATATTTATGCACTGGATTCACTCCATTACAATCTTTGCAATAAACGCTGGGTGTAAAGAGTGTCTGAAAGAAATACACGCCTGAGCATTTAATCGAGGAAATGGTATTTTTGAATATTGAGCAACATGAGCAAACATGTCAAAGGATATCAAATATTTGTCCATTAAAAATCTTTGATAAAACTAGAAAATGTGCTGGAATTTACAATTTAGAGTACACAAACCACATTTGACAACAGAGGCAAACTTATAGGCCTACAGTAGAAAAGCCAAACCATGTCTTTCTCGTTCCGGAATCGTGAAAAGACTCTTGGGCCTCCTCCTACCCTTGTATTTCCGGCGATTGTTCATAATAAACCTCGAGCAACTGAACCACTACAGATTCAGGCGTATCGAACTATTACTCTTTCTTATCGCTGATGGGTTTATATGTGTGTAGATTGTCAGCATGTTGTGCAACACAGCAGATATGTCAAAGGCCTGGCGGAAGACTTGGTTGAGAGCTAAGCCTAGCGACAACAACTCACAAGGTCAAAGTTAAACACACAGAACAAACACAAGTCGAGGAAAGCATGTGTCACAAATAAGGCCACAGCTAAACTGTACCGTGTTGTCTGGGTTATTCATCATCATTTTAACTTCTTCGTTAGATCGGTGTTAGAATGATTGAGTTTTGTTTTTCGTCAGTCGAGAAAAAATTGTCAACAACACGAAACGTGAGAACAAAATCTACCTTTCTAATCGTGTTCATATTTGGCAAAATGCATTTTGGGTTGTAAGCAAGAATTTTCTATGGCTGACTGGTTACATCGTCGTTTCGATATTTGATAATTACCCTCAATTAATGTTGATAATGCAAAACAGGAACTTTCAACCTTTTTCGTCCATGTTTGTTGTCATATGCGCACGCACTTGTTCTCTGGAAGGGAGGCAACTCTAATGATACGCCAAATATGCGACAGCACCGCTCACGATATAGTTCAAGTCGGGTCGCGGTAACTTCGTAAACCTCAAAATGAGAAATTTCAAAACACAAATAGAAAGTGATTGAAGCATATTTACAATATGTTTGCCACTACAAATAATGTTTAAAACTGTCGAAAAGAGGGTCGTTTTAATGGGGAGTTATTTAAATTATGGGGCATGTTGTTTTGTTTTTTTAAACAATGGGTAACCCTCAAACCCTGAACCGAAGTGAGTGAGTTAAAATTTAACGTCGCATCGGCATTGTTTCAGCCATATAGCGACTCTAAACCTAAGTGGCGAACAAATTGAAAAGTACCCAACTTGACCAAAATCCAAACAGAAGAGCATAGAATGTTATGCAAATGTAAATGCATAGATATTTTATTTGAATATACAAGAATAACATATCAGGGCTAGGGCTGGGACAGGTAACTGGGGTACATGGGTCGGGTGGGATCCGGGTACCCACAGGACTACCCGGACCCGTGGTTAGTCATGTGATATATTTTTTTGTGACATTAACCATAAAAGTTCATGGTTACACTTTATAAGTACAAGTCGCTATAATGTTCGCATTTCTTTCTGACTGTGCACACATTCCTTCTGATTTTTATATGTTAGATAAGGACAAAGCTTCAGTCAACTTCAGTGTATGCACGATCAGATCGTTTTATAATATATCTAAATACTTTATGCCAGGGCTCCAGTAAAAAAACTTCCCAATCGAACATTTTGAACCCAACTTGAGACCTACAATGGGTACCCGGGTAGAGTCGGGTAATAGGGGGTCGGGTACCCAGGTAGTAAATTTAGACTCGTCCCAGCCTTAATCAAGACTTTACCTGAGACCATAATCTCTGCCGGTGTCACGGACCTATACGTGCCGGTGTCGGTACTGATCGTTCAGGATACTGCTTGTCGTGAAAGGCGACTATGCTTATCGTAAGAGGCGACTAACGGGATCGGGTGGTCAGGCTCGCTGACTTGGTTGATGCATGTCATCGTATCCCAATTGCGTGGATCGATGCTCATGAAATTAATCACTGGATTGTCTGGTCCAGACTCGATTATTTACAGACCGCCATCATATAGCTGGAATATTGCTGAGTACGGCGTTAAACAACAAACACACAAAAATAAAAACATCCAGGATACACTGATTCAGTTAACATAACTGGCGGAGAGTGGGTCAAAGTAATTGTAAAGATATCCGCTTCGGTCCGGTAATTTAACAAAATTAAGCAATGTAATATGGCAATAAAAATATGTAACGTTTGATTGTATGTTGATTATAAGTTGCACGTGAATGGAATTCAGAACGCTTGGTGTTATGAATGTGGATGCAATGATTGCATTAGGATAAAAATAAAATAAACGAACGCTTAGAAATATGAAATAGGGTTACGAAGGTTCTTCCTTTGGGGGCTACGAAATTACCAGGGTTACGAAATTACCAGGGTTACGTAATTACAAGGGTTACGAAATTACCAGGTTTACGAAATTACCAGGGTTACGTAATTACCAGGGTTACGAAATTACCAGGGTTACTAAATTAACAGGGTTACGAAATTACCAGGGTTACGTAATTACCAGGGTTACGTAATTACCAGGGTTACGAAATTACCAGGGTTACGTAATTACCAGGGTTACGAAATTACCAGGGTTACGTAATTACCAGGGTTACGCAATTACCAGGGTTACGAAATTACCAGGGTTACGACATTGCATACATTCAAATCTATCCGACCCTAGCCAAAGTATCGAAGTTGGCGAAAACAGTACCTGGCGAAATGGGACCGTATCATGTTTGTTGTTTTGTGATTTTGTATCAATAAAATTAAAACATTCATGTTAGTATGTCATATCATTCTAATGAACTCTTCTTCATAAAAAAAAAACTGGAATGTAAGGATTTGTCAATATTGGAAAAATACTGTGAAACATTCCCATAATAAATAAAAGAACCTTAAGCATTGATTACCAATAGAGAAAGAATGCTAACAAGATATACCACGAGATCACAGTGTTTGTAAAATGATTGAGCAGACGGTTGTTTATAAGATTTGCAAAAAAATACAAATACTCATGGAAGTATGAATTAAGGGTTAATATAATCTCCAACACTTGGTACTTAATTGAATACTTACAGTATTTTTAAACGTTCACAGTTTGCAAAGGAATAACATGTCAAAGCTATAACCAGAATTAAAATTTAATTTGTTCCTTCATTTGCTGTTTAACGCCTCACACAACAATATTCCAGCTGTAAGTAAATAATCGAATCTAGGCTAGGTCTACAATCCAGTGATTGATATCATGAGCATCGATCTACCCCATTCGGAAGCCATGACATGCATCAACCAAGTCAGCGAGCCTGACCACCCGATCCTGTTAGTCGCCTCTAAAGACAAACGTGGGTTGCTGAAGACCAATTCTAACCCAGTTCTTCACAGGTTAAAATTTAATTAAAAGTTGAAGAGAAATATTCATTGGACTTACTGTCCGATATACCGAAGTACACCCATATTGTGTTCATACCCACATCTGGCCCGTGAAGATCCGGGGTAGAATAGGTCTTCAGTAACCCATGCTTGCCGTAAAAGGTGACTATGCTTGTCGTAAGAGGCGACTAACGGGATCGGGTGGTCAGGCTCGCTGACTTGGTTGATGCATGTCATCGATCCCAATTGCGTGGATCGATGCTCATGATATCAATCACTGGATAAAAAAAATAAAAAGACTTGTGTTTCATAGGCTTTAATAGTCCAACAAATAATTCAAGTGTGAAGAATTACTACACCAAGGTGCATTACATGCATACATCATTTAGCTCTTTGTGTGGGTGGTTTGTTGTTGAAAGCCGCACTCAACAATATTTCAGCTATATGACGGCAGTCTGTAAATAATCAAGTCTGAACCATACAATCCAGTGATTAATATCATGAGCATCGATCCACGCAATTGGGATCGATGACATGCATCAACTAAGTCAGCGAGCCGGACCACCCATCCTGTTAGTCGCCTTTTACGACAAGCATAGTCGCCTTTTACGACAAGCATAGTCAGCTTTTACGGCAAGCATGGGTTGCTGAAGACCTATTCCTCCCCAGATCTTCACGGCTCTAGCACTTTGGAACCCATAACCAGAGTCAACCCAATTTTATATGTTTGTTTGTTTATTTGTTATTTAACACCACATTCAGCAATATTCCAGCTATGTGACGACAGTCTGTAAATAATCGAGTCCGGACCAGATAATCTAGTGATTGACATCACGAGCATCGATCCACGCAATTGGTTTAAGATTACATGCATCAACCAAGTCAGCGAACATGACCATCTGATTCCGTTAGTCGCCTTTTACGACAAGCATAGTCGCCTTTTACAGCAAGCATGGGTTGCTGTAGACCTTTCTACCCCGGATCTTCAGGTGTCATTTTTCCATGTGTACCAGCAGTTGAAATACTGCATCAGGGTAGGGCATTCGAATGACGGTTGACTCCTACAAGGTTGCTGCTGGTTCTTTAATAAATGTCTCAAAGAATGAATTCGATGGAAATGCAGATGTGCCCTGCATAATGCTTGAGCACTTTGTCCTCGTGGAGGTGAGGTGAGGTGAAATTGGGTTTAACATTGAGTCCAAGATTTTTGCACTTATATAGCGATGTGCATGCACGTGTGTGTGTGTGTGTGTGTGTGTGTGTGTGTGTGTGTGTGTACTAGTCAGAACTGATGCCGATTTATAGTCATAGCTCACTGAGATACCATGCCGCAGTTTAACATAAATACCCCATTCAGACAGAGTATACTGACTCCGAGCCGACCAGTCCTTGTTTTAGCCCCTTAATGCCGAGGACCAGACAGGGTTACAACAAGTACCATCTTTTGACGTCTTTAGGTATGACGCAGCCGGGATCGAACCCCAGACCTTCCGCTCTCCGGGCGGATGCTCTACCACTAGACCACGGAGGCAGAGAGCGGATGCTCTACCACTAGACCAAGGAGGCAGAGAGCGGATGCTCTACCACTAGACCACGGAGCCTGGGCAGGGTTGGTAACCTCCCAATTGTTAGACATCCCATTTGTCAGACATCCCAATTGTCAGACATCCTATTTGTCAGACAGCTTATACCAGGATTAGTCAAGGTTGGTTAGTCAAGCAATAGTTCCCTGTTTACCTGTTTACCCTTCATTAAAGTGGAACAGACCAGAAAACACACATTTTGAGGAATTTACAGGATTGGTTTATTATGCACTTATAATCATCAAATCATACCAGAAATCACACTTTTTGAAGTATTTATTGAAATTATTTCTTATCCTGATACAACACAGTGCAAAGCTAATATCTCACAGTTGGTGATGGGGTTTGTGGTTGAGATCCTAGTCTGTCGGAAACCTGTGACAGATTACGTCATGAGATTAGATTTAGGCTGTGGCGATGTGGGACTGTGGCTGGGGCTTGTTGAAGAATAGGAGGGGCTGGTAGGAGAATAGGAGGGGCTTGTAGGGCTATAGGAGGGTGATGTGGGACTGTAGGATGGAGAGGTCGGGCTGTAAGATGGGCTGGTGGGACTGTAGGATGGGCTGGTAGGAGAGTAGGATGGCGATGTGGGACTGTAGCTGGGGCTTGTTGGAGAATAGGATGGAGAAGTCGGACTGTAGCTTGGACTTGTTGGAGAATAAGATGGAGGAGTCGGACTGTATTTCGGGGAAGTTGGTGAATAACCAGGACTTGATGGCGAGTATGACGGACTTGTTGGTGAGTAGCCAGGACTCTGAGGGGTCATGGCTGGTGAGCTTGGCATGTAGGATGGCGACGCTGGTGAGTAGCTCGGTGACATGGCGCCCCGCGGACTGGGAATGTAGGGACTGACTGGCGAGCCTGGGGAGCCGGGCTGCGGTGACCAGGCAGGGCTGTAGCCGGGACTGAAGCCACTCTCTCTGGCAGCCGACAGAGAGGAATATCATGATATAACATTTATACTAAGTTGTCCTATAATAATAATAATAATAATAGATCCACATCAAGTGCTTTTATGAGTTATCATGGTGTATCATTTATACATCATTTCATATAATTATAGTTTAGCAAGTAATACTTATCATCAGGTAAAATGCATATATAAAATATCAGTAGTTTCAGTTATAGCTTTTTAGACAGATGCTAGCCTGAGGTAATGGGAGCGCATCTCCTAGACATACTATTCAATAAAACAAGAGTTATGTCTACATAGTTTAATAGATTTGAAGCTTTTAGATTATTGCTAGCCTCAGGTATCAAGATCCCATCTCCCAGACAAAAGATATTTCTACATAGTCTTATAGATTACCTTGAACTATTTTATTTAAGTAAATCTGTCATCACCTATATTAGAATAACATTCAGCAATTACTTCAATTTAGACTCATTAAGGATTAGCCCCCATACAAGCTCGTCTATAGTGCATTAATGATCAGCCCCCATACAAGCTCGTCTATAGTGCATTAAGGATCAGCCCCCATACAAGCTCGTCTATAGTGCATTAAGGATCAGCCCCCATAAAAGCTCGTCTATAGTGATGTCATAATCTCTTTTAAAGCATCCAGTAAATATGTCAACAAGATTAGTGCAAGTCCAACAGGATTAAGTATTCCCCTCTGTCTAGCCATTCATTAACCATAAGGCACAGCCCATCGTGTATAAACCAATCATAATTCATTTTATTGTTCTAATTTTGAGGACATGTTCAACCTTGATCATCTGATGGAATAACAAGCAAGCTGATCCACCTCTGACCTCAACACTGGATTAAAGACAACCAACTCCTCCAAAGACACCAACAAAGGAAGAAAAAGTCTTCAAATATTGTAAGTACAGCATTACATTGTTGATTACTTGTCTTTCTTTAATTTAGTACAGTACATACTAATAGGTGTCATGGTAAATATGGAGTCTGGTATGGAAAGTAACCTTGAAAGTGAAATTCCAACAGTGTCTTTAGTTACGCCCCTTGCCAAAAGTGTAATTCAGGCAAAATTTGACACAACAACAAATTGTTTAGTAGATACGGGGGCATACATTTGTTGTATTTCGTCTGCTTTTCTGAGCACAGCTTTTGAAAACCTTACTCTTGGAAACTCACCCTTTCCACAGGTTAAAGGTGTTGGCGGCGGAAGTGTTAGGTTCAGTTGTGTTAGATTTTGTCATTGAGGATCAGGAATTTTCTCAAAGATTCTATGTACTGCCTACATTACTGAAGGCTACCGATACTGAGAACTTCCTTGATGACAATGATGCAGTCTTAGATTATAGCTGTCATTCCTTGATACTTAACAGCACCTCAGTTAGGCAATATATCAATTTCATAGCCAATTCAGTGCAAGAGATTAGTGGATTAGCAAAAACAATAGATCAGATTTACATCCCCCCTCAGAGTGAAATTCATTTCAAGGTTAGACTATCAGAGGCCAAAGAGGATTTTCTCATCCTCATTGAACCCATTGCTTCCCTCACTGCTCATTCTGAAGTAGCAGGTGGTAGAACTCTTTCTAAAGCAAAAAGCAAAACTGCTACATTTAGACTTATGAATCCTTCCCAAGAAGAAAAGCTTCTAGACAAGGGTACAGTTGTAGGCAAATTTAGTTACATTGATAAAGACTCTGTTTTTGAAATCGACTCTGACCAACCATCAATAAATACTGTTAACCCTCACAATGAGAAGAGAGACAATAACACCAGGGACTATGTTAAAATTGCACAAGAATTAGGATTTGACAAATACACAACTGACTCCAGACCAACGACACAGACTACTTAGATTTTTGGGACAAAATAGAGACATGTTTTCAATTAGTCTTGCAGATTTAGGAAAGACTGACATGCACCAACATATCATTGACACTGGCAACAACCCACCTGTTAAGTGTAGACCATATCGCCAATCTCCTCATCTCCTAAAATTCACTGAAGAACTTATAGATGATTTTCTGAAGTATGATTTGATCGAAGAGTCTACAGATAGTTGAATTCTGTCACTTTATCAATGTCATGGCCTCTTCCTGTTTTTGATGATGTTGTTGATCCCATCGCCAATGCACAAGCTAAGATCTTCTCAACTTTAGATCTTGCTAATGGCTTCTTCCAAGTGCCATTACATGAAGATTCAAAGCATAAGACTGTTTTCGTCACCCATCAAGGCCTTTATCAATTCAAACGTTTGCCCCAAGGTTTGACAAATTCTCCACTTTGTTTTCAACAGCTCATGAGCAAAGTGCTAAGAAAATTGCTTTTTAAGGTTGCGCTGATTTACATTGATGATTTGATAATTTACAGCAAAAACTTTGAAGAGCATCTCCAACATTTGGAGCAAGTATTTTACTATCTGAAACAGGCAAAATTAACACTAAAGCCATCCAAATGCAATTTTGCAACAGACAAAGTTTCTTTTCTGGGTCATGTTTTATCATGTGGAGGTGTTCAAGTTGTTGACAAAAAGATTGAAGCAATTAGAACCTTTCCAGTGCCCAAATCACAAAAGCAGATTCGCTCCTTCTTAGGCCTCACAAACTTCTACAGGAAGTATATGAAAAATTATGCTCACATAGTGCTTCCACTGAATGCTTTGCTAAAGAAGCAATCAGTCAGAAATAGGAAAGAAACCAAAGTTCCAATGGTCACTTGAGTGTGATCAGGCATTCAACACACTCAAACATGCTATGAGTAATACACCTGTTCTGGCTTATCCAAAGTTTGACAAAGAATTTCTTCTCGCAACTGATGCCAGTGATATGAGCATAGGTTTTGTTTTGAGTCAAAAAGATGAGAAAAATAATGAACATCCAATAGGTTTTGGTGTTAGAGCTCTTCATGGCAGCGAAAAGAACTGGAGCATTACAGAAAAGGAAGGCTTAGCTCTGGTTGAAGCCATCAGATCATTTCGTCCATACCTTGCAAATTCCAAATTCACAGTCCACACTGATCATATAGCTTTGAAATGGCTGAAATCCATCAAGGATGCCACAGGTAGGTTAGGACGATGGTCTTTGGAACTTTCTACCTACACTTTTGACATTGTTCACCGCAGCGGCAAAGCCAATGGGAATGCCGATGCTCTCTCACGTAGGGAATATGAGGAAAATATTAACTGTAATGATCAGACAGAAGAAGATGCTGAGTAAACAGTCTTCTCAGTTAACTTCAACTCAGCAAAGCAAATCAACTAACAGTACCACAATCTTGCCAAACACCCATTCATCACACAGACAACTCAGTCTGAGGATATTTGCACACCTATTGTCAATCACTTAGAATCAGACACACAGACAACACATTGGTCAGTCACCTTTGAATATGAAGAGGATTATCAGTCAGTACCAGTTAATGTTATTGCAGCATTACATACTACAAATGCTGATGTTACTCAAGACACATTGGTTGAAGTAAGTATAAAAGAACATCCAAATTTACGTCACCTACAAAGGATTTGTCCAGATTTCGTCCAAATCTTTGACTACAAAGAGGAGGATGTCCTTCCACAAAATGAAATGGATTGCCAAAAGATTCTTATCGAAGCCAATACTTTTGAAATTGATGAAGGCATCCTATACAGATTCGTTCCACAAAGACAGAAAGGCCATGCGGACAAGTTCATTAAACAGCTGGCAGTCCCAAGAACCCTCAGGAATCAAGTCCTCCAATCCTACCATGACTCAGAGTTTGGCGGTTGCCACCATGGGAAAGAAAGGATGCACAACACCATGAGACCTAAGTACTACTGGCCCAAAATGTACAGCGATGTTATTACTTATGTCCAAACATGTGAGGTATGTCAACAGACCAAGAGGCACTACCACGGCAAGAAGGCGCCACTTCGTCCACTTCCTGTAGAAGAAGTCTTCACCCGATGGCACGCTGACATTCTCGGTCCCCTGCCAACAACACCAGACAAGTACAAATACATTCTGGTCATCACAGATGATCATCCAGATGGTGTGAAGCCTTTCCACTTCGGACCCAAGAAGCTAAAGAAGTAGCAGATGTTCTCGTCATAGAAATATTTTGTCGGTATGGCGCTCCAAGGACCTTAATTTCAGACAGAGGTCAGAACTTCATGTCCAAACTTATCAAAGCAATTTGTGAACTTTGGGCAATTAAATTTACCCATACCAGTCCATACCATCCTCAAATAAACAGCTGTGTAGAAAGGCTCAATTCTTATATCAATCAATCACTAAGAGCCTATTGTAACAAGTCTAAAATGATTGGCCCCGTTTTATTCCTGGCATCATGATAGCCTATCGGATGGCCCCAAATTCATCAACGCAAAAATCCCCGTACATTATGCTTTTTGGCCGAGAAATGAGAGCTCCACAAGATGTAGCATTAATTCAAAAAGAAAATTTAGGCCACAATAACAAAAGTTATCTTTCAAATTTACTTGAGGAGCTGGAAATCACTAGAACAATCGCAGCTGAAAACACTGCTCGGGCTAAGGGGGTGTACTCAGAACAATATAATCGAAAGGCTAAAGAACCAGAATTCGCCCCAGATCAAAGAGTTTGGCTTGATTGTCAAAAAGTTGAAAAAGGGCTTTCCAACAAATAAACCAAAAAGTGGTATGGTAGCTATTATATCATCCACACAGGTCCAAATTATACCTACAAACTACGCTGAAGTTCTGACGACAAAATACACAAACCACTGGTCCATGCCAACCGCCTGAAGCCATATTTTGATCCTGTTGATCGTCCACAGTATCCTCCAGAACCATACCTCAATGACACAAGTAACATAGATTCAGAAGTCATGGATGACAATGAGGAACCAGTCAATGATTCACAGCCTGACAGCACCATTTCCCAGTCGACAAGCTCAACTTATCAAGAAACTGATCAATCACTTCCACAACAGAAAGGCAACAAGGTAAATTCCAAAACTAAGGCAGGTACTTCCAGCAACAAGAATTCGTACATTATGATATTCAACAAAGGCAATTGCTTACATGATCATTTTTTTTTGAGAAATTATCAGAATCAAAATGATCATGCAGTCATAAAGTTGTTCGACGACACAATGGAAGAAGTTACAGCGCATGACAACCAGACTGGTGACCCTGGTTAATGTTACATATTTTGCACTTTCAAATAAAATAAAAATACTCTGCCATGACCAATTCAAGATATTTACAAATAAATACCTATATCATTTTCAAGTATTCCATGAAAAAAGGCATTGTATTACATTTGTAGCAGGTTAGGGTGGTGCAAATCTCACAAGTAAGACCAATGCCTGCTGGGGGTGAGTGGTGACCAAGAAGCCACAAGTTTATTTTCCATACCAATATTTACCCGGGAACATAACTGAACAAATAATAAATAAATAGTTATACACATTAAAACATTGCACTTATCACCGTTATTGATATAATAATTAAAATGCATTCACCACATTATTATATGATGTTTTCCATAATACTTCAACTGCATGAATGCACTTTAATATACAAGATGTATATTATACATACATGAAATATAAACATTAAATAACTAAATTCCTATGCCTACCGAATGTATGGCACTCAGGTGATAGTAGGCCAAATCACTTGTCACTCAGATCCATCTATAAATAACATACATGTACATATGTCATTCTAACTTAAATATATAAAATATAAAATATAAAATATAAAACATAAAATATAAAATATAAAATATAAAATAATATACATAGTAATCTACTGCCAACATAATCTCAAATAGAATGTCATAGATAAACCTACATAAATATACACATTACCTGTGCTGTAATATGCTCATAATTATACACAACACACATTTCTCATGGCAAACAATATGGCGGACACAAATACTTATATCTGTCGCCTTTATCATAAAAACATATTATAGTACATTACATCATGTGTTTATTATCGTTACTGTACTTATGACATAAATTACATTCATACACTCAAATCACACAAGTATATCTACACTAAAATAATGTTTACATTATACATGCTGTACTAAAACAAATATTACATCCTACATAATGTTTATAATCTAGTATTAAAACTAACCTTTGGAGATGTATAGTGAAGATGAAGCTGTGAAAGTCCTTGTCACAATACATGTCAAAATATGAGTCTCGTGTCGTGACTGTCCAGAGAAAGCTGAATATAGTAGACTGACTTAGTGCTTGTGTTAGTATAGAAGCTTGCCCTCTAAAAGCAAGACAAAAGAATACTCTCGACCCTCACAATAAACAAAAGAACTTACCAGCCCAAGTTCAGCTTGGAGCAATCAGGCTGGAAACTTGTACGGTACATAATCTAATAAAATACACCAATTACACTGTCTAAAACCAATACCATATATATACAGATAAATTTTAGAAATGACACTGCCCCGTTACAAACATTAGTTGAGGACGACAAAACAATAGCCTCAAATACCTGGTGCAGAATATGAACTGATCGTGGACAACAGACTTTTGATATGAGGAAGTAGCATTTAGGACGTGACTTCCTACATTAGTAATGATCGGTTTTATGGAAAGAAATCTGGTAGCAATAATTTATTTGCTATTCTAAGCCACACTGATTTCTGTGCCAACAGGATCACTATAAATTTGAGATTTACAGTTTGTACAAAATATATACATTTCCATATAAGGCTTTGAAACTTCTTTTTTTCATTTTCTCTTCAGATTGCTGAAACAGCAACATCCATACATTCTTTCAATGGACATCCCATTTCCAGATAAACAGACAAGAAAGTTTGTAAATAATACATAACTAGATCCACATCTTGTACAAGCATCTCATATTCAGGAAAACAAGAAATTCAATATAAATGTCAGTTTGTATAATATACACCCAGATCCACATCTTGTCCGCCAGCACTGGCTGTTGCAGGCACATTTGTGAATCCTTCAACACTCTTTGTACAGCAGTCTCTGAATCATTCAAGTGTAACTTTAACAGTCTGATCCAGAACACGGACTCCGTCAGGGTCATCCAGTGCAGAGATCTAGTCTTCATCACTCTCTTCCTCACCTTGGCCTGAGTAACGTGGGCTAGTCGGGGAGTACTTGGGTGTGGTTGGGGTGTATGTGGGGGATGTTGGAGAGTATTTGGGGCTTGTTGGAGTGTCTGTGGGTGAGGTTGGGGAGTATCTGGGGCTGGTAGGAGAGTATGTTGGGGAGGTTGGGGTGTATGTGGGGGATCTTGGAGAGTATTTGGGGCTTGTTGGAGTGTACGTGGGTGAGGTTGGGGATTATCTGCGGCTAGTCGGGGAGTACCTGGGTGTGGTTGGGGTGTATGTGGGGGATCTTGGAGAGTATTTGGGGCTTGTTGGAGTGTACGTGGGTGAGGTTGGGGATTATCTGCGGCTAGTCGGGGAGTACCTGGGTGTGGTTGGGGTGTATGTGGGGGATCTTGGAGAGTATTTGGGGCTTGTTGGAGTGTACGTGGGTGAGGTTGGGGAGTATCTGCGGCTAGTCGGGGAGTACCTGGGTGTGGTTGGGGTGTATGTGGGGGATGTTGGAGAGTATTTGGGGCTTGTTGGAGTGTACGTGGGTGAGTTTGGGGAGTATCTGCGGCTAGTCGGGGAGTACTTGGGTGTGGTTGGGGTGTATGTGGGGGATATTGGAGAGTATTTGGGGCTTTTTGGAGTGTACGTGGGTGAGGTTGGGGAGTATCTGCGGCTAGTCGGGGAGTACTTGGGTGTGGTTGGGGTGTATGTGGGGGATGTTGGAGAGTATTTGGGGCTTGTTGGAGTGTACGTGGGTGAGGTTGGGGAGTATCTGCGGCTAGTCGGGGAGTACTTGGGTGTGGTTGGGGTGTATGTGGGGGATGTTGGAGAGTATTTGGGGCTTGTTGGAGTGTACGTGGGTGAGGTTGGGGAGTATCTGGGGCTGGTAGGAGAGTACTTGGGTGTGGTTGGGGTGTATGTGGGGGATGTTGGAGAGTATTTGGGGCTTGTTGGAGTGTATGTGGGTGAGTTTGGGGAGTATCTGCGGCTAGTCGGGGAGTACTTGGGTGTGGTTGGGGTGTATGTGGGGGATATTGGAGAGTATTTGGGGCTTTTTTGAGTGTACGTGGGTGAGGTTGGGGAGTATCTGCGGCTAGTCGGGGAGTACTTGGGTGTGGTTGGGGTGTATGTGGGGGATGTTGGAGAGTATTTGGGGCTTGTTGGAGTGTACGTGGGTGAGGTTGGGGAGTATCTGCGGCTAGTCGGGGAGTACTTGGGTGTGGTTGGGGTGTATGTGGGGGATGTTGGAGAGTATTTGGGGCTTGTTGGAGTGTACGTGGGTGAGGTTGGGGAGTATCTGCGGCTAGTCGGGGAGTACTTGGGTGTGGTTGGGGTGTATGTGGGGGATGTTGGAGAGTATTTGGGGCTTTTTGGAGTGTACGTGGGTGAGGTTGGGGAGTATCTGCGGCTAGTTGGGGAGTAATTGGGTGTGGTTGGGGTGTATGGGGGGGATGTTGGAGAGTATTTGGGGCTTTTTGGAGTGTACGTGGGTGAGGTTGGGGAGTATCTGGGGCTAGTTGGGGAGTAATTGGGTGTGGTTGGGGTGTATGTGGGGGATCTTGGAGAGTATTTGGGGCTTGTTGGAGTGTACGTGGGTGAGGTTGGGGATTATCTGCGGCTAGTCGGGGAGTAATTGGGTGTGGTTGGGGTGTATGTGGGGGATGTTGGAGAGTATTTGGGGCTTGTTGGAGTGTACGTGGGTGAGGTTGGGGAGTATCTGGGGCTAGTTGGGGAGTAATTGGGTGTGGTTGGGGTGTATGTGGGGGATGTTGGAGAGTATTTGGGGCTTGTTGGAGTGTACGTGGGTGAGGTTGGGGAGTATCTGGGGCTGGTAGGAGAGTACTTGGGTGTGGTTGGGGTGTATGTGGGGGATGTTGGAGAGTATTTGGGGCTTGTTGGAGTGTATGTGGGTGAGTTTGGGGAGTATCTGCGGCTAGTCGGGGAGTACTTGGGTGTGGTTGGGGTGTATGTGGGGGATATTGGAGAGTATTTGGGGCTTTTTTGAGTGTACGTGGGTGAGGTTGGGGAGTATCTGCGGCTAGTCGGGGAGTACTTGGGTGTGGTTGGGGTGTATGTGGGGGATGTTGGAGAGTATTTGGGGCTTGTTGGAGTGTACGTGGGTGAGGTTGGGGAGTATCTGCGGCTAGTCGGGGAGTACTTGGGTGTGGTTGGGGTGTATGTGGGGGATGTTGGAGAGTATTTGGGGCTTGTTGGAGTGTACGTGGGTGAGGTTGGGGAGTATCTGCGGCTAGTCGGGGAGTACTTGGGTGTGGTTGGGGTGTATGTGGGGGATGTTGGAGAGTATTTGGGGCTTTTTGGAGTGTACGTGGGTGAGGTTGGGGAGTATCTGCGGCTAGTCGGGGAGTACTTGGGTGTGGTTGGGGTGTATGTGGGGGATGTTGGAGAGTATTTGGGGCTTTTTGGAGTGTACGTGGGTGAGGTTGGGGAGTATCTGGGGCTAGTTGGGGAGTAATTGGGTGTGGTTGGGGTGTATGGGGGGGATGTTGGAGAGTATTTGGGGCTTTTTGGAGTGTACGTGGGTGAGGTTGGGGAGTATCTGGGGCTAGTTGGGGAGTAATTGGGTGTGGTTTGGGTGTATGGGGGGGATGTTGGAGAGTATTTGGGGCTTTTTGGAGTGTACGTGGGTGAGGTTGGGGAGTATCTGCGGCTAGTCGGGGAGTACTTGGGTGTGGTTGGGGTGTATGGGGGGGATGTTGGAGAGTATTTGGGGCTTGTTGGAGTGTACGTGGGTGAGGTTGGGGAGTATCTGGGGCTAGTTGGGGAGTAATTGGGTGTGGTTGAGGTGTATGTGGGGGATGTTGGAGAGTATTTGGGGCTTGTTGGAGTGTAGGTGGGTGAGGTTGGGGAGTATCTGGGGCTGGTAGGAGAGTATGTTGGGGAGGTTGGGGTGTATGTGGGGGATGTTGGAGAGTATTTGGGGCTTGTTGGAGTGTACGTGGGTGAGGTTGGGGAGTATCTGGGGCTGGTAGGAGAGTATGTTGGGGAGGTTGGGGTGTATTTCGGACTAGTTGGGGAGTAGGTGGGAGAGGAGGGAGAGTACTGCGGTGAGCTTGGACTGTATTGAGGGGAGGAGGGGCTGTACTCTGGAGACTGGGGGCTGTACTGGGGGGAGGTTGGGGTATAGGATGGGCTGGTCGGAGAGTAGGAAGGTGACTGGGGGCTGAAGTTAGGAGAGCTTGGAGAATACGAGGGGCTTGTTGGGCTGCAGCTTGGACTTGTTGGAGAATAGGATGGAGAAGTCAGACTGTATTTTGGGGAAGTTGGTGAATAATAACCAGGACTTGATGGTGAGTATGACAGACTTGTTGGTGAGTAGCTAGTACTCAGAAACCACCGCAACCCTGGGGAGCCGGGTTGCGGTGACCAGGCAGGGCTGTAGCTGGGACTGAAGCCACTCTCGCTGGCAGCCGACCGAGAGAAGCCTGCCTGACCAGGGGTCATGCCGCTGCCAATCCCAGGGGACCAGGCACTGGCGTAAGTGGGTGTGGCTCCCTGGTTCCAGGGCGTCATCTGAAGAGACATGCCGCTGACACGACTGCCCACACTGCCGAAGAACATACCAGTTCCCGCACCTGCAAGACAAATGAAATGATTAAAAGTCAGTCCAAACATAATAATACACAGAAGTAACAATAAGTTTGTTTGTTTGTTGTTTAACGCCGCACTCCAGCTAAATGACGTCAGTCTGTAAATAATAAAGTCTGGACCAGATTATCCAGTGATTGACATCATGAGCATCGATCTACACAATTGGGATGCGTGGACATGCATCAACCAAGTCAGCGAGTCTGACCACATGATCTTGTTAGTCGCCTCTTACGACAAGCATGGGTTGCTGAAGACCAATTCTAACTTGGATCTTCACAGGTAAAGTAACAATAAGCTATACTTTATAGCCGACTCAGCAATATTCCAGCAGCCTATAAAGAATCGAGTCTGGACCAGACAATCCAGAAACTGATATTGTAAACAATGATCCACAATGGGGGGCATATATCGGTGAAAACTTTCTGATACATTGACTATATTTTTGGCACATTCAAGCATAATGAGTAGTTCCTTACCTGACATCATTCCTGAGCCACCAGCTGTTGGGATCTCCATGCCGTATTTACATTTCTCTGCATCCAGGAGCAGGTCGAAGCAGCCAGTGCCGATCTTGGCCAGCTGTCCCAGCATGATCCTCTCAGACACACCTTTCATCGGGTCGTGCTCGCCGTGGGCTGCTGCCTCCATCAAGATGTCCACCTGACAACAACAGGTCATCACAGATCTTTCATGAGCAACTTAGCTTTCATACAATACATACATGTCTTTTCAGGATAAAAATAGTCTTAATGTAGTAGGAAGCAAGCCTCACCAAATGAAAACTGATTACATTAATATTAAGTTTCATTCAGACATTTCTCATGCAAATAGCATTGATAAAATATCACAAGCAGAATGTTCTAACTGGTCAATTATCTCACCACAAATACAATTATATCTGACAAACTCTTGTGCTTGTTCATTATCACTGAAGAAGGTCATTTTGTAATTATTCATCATAGATTGACCTTGCTCTTTATGTATAACCAAACTTGTATTATCATATCTGCCTGGTCCATTTACATAAGCACTACAGAACTTTCCTTCTAATCTTATGAATGTCCAAACTTCCTACCGTTTCCTCGAAGGAGCATCTTGCCAGTGCACCTGTCTCCTGCCTGTTAATACCGTGACGCGTGATGGCCATCAAGTGACCCTTGGCTGTCATCACATCACACAGAAGTGCCAAGTGACGGTAGTTCACATAGGAACCATCAAAGGAGATAACGTGGTTCATCTCTTTCTCAATGGCTTTTCGTACAGCCTCAATTCCCAAGGTCTGAAACAAGAATATTTTCATCATTAATAACAATGATGACCATCATCAAATAAGGGGTGGTACTCACAGCTCTAAAAGTTGAAGGTTGAAGGGGTCCTAATACTACAAGTCCTCCCCTAATTTTGAACTCAGATCCATCTAACAAACATCACAGACCCACATCAGACAAGGTATGTAACAAATAAGTTTCAGCATTATCATTCTGGGGGCACCAAGAAATGTTGATTCCATTGCATCATCTGCAGTGAAAACCTAAGTCCCAATCAAAATGCATGATTTATATGGAATCCATAGAACTAGTAGAAAATACCCAAATTTGGAAGATCTTTCTATAAATTTAGAAGATCTTTCTATCTATATTTTTCTTATGCCGAGTGATTAAAATTATTTAATTTCTGCCACAAAAAACAAAATCACTTGTTTGCCACATTTCAACTCAACATCAGAAATTTCAGACCTGACCACAAAAGGAATCTACATTTAAGACACAACCTGATATTTCATCCCACACAATTCACTTAATGAATCTGATTTCCTGAAATTCCAACGATTCATATCAACACAAGTCCCATTCAAAATGCATTTTGTATGGTATTCACAGAAATAGTTGTAAATATTCAAAAAGATTTTCCTTCCTGTATTATCATAAAGTTCAGTGATTAAATTTATTTAGGTTTCGTATAAAGATAACTCATATGCCACATATCAATTATCAGAAATCTCAGATCTGCCACAAAAGGAATCTACATTTAAGACACAACCTGATATTTCATCTGGGTATATTTCTTACAAAGAAATGTATTCTGACTTGGACTTACAGCAAACACCTCCACAATGTCATTAGTGTATGTCCTGATGGGGTCGATGTCTCGTTCACTCAACACCTTCATCAGGGCGGTACCGTCAGTCTGCAGAATCCACTCAGCAGCAGCCTTGTACTCTCCTTCATCGGTGATGAAGATACGCTTCTCGTCATCTGTGGTTGGCAAATGCATGTACACCTGAGGGTGGATTGTATATGCATGAGATAGTGGCTACAAATACAGAAATAATTGAAATGGGGGATCCTGAGGTGAGGTGAGGTGAGGTGAATGCAACGATGCATCCAACACATCAACAATGGATGCAAACCATCGTCACTACATGAGTGAGTGAGTTGGGTTTAACGCCGCTTTTAACAGTATTCCAGTTATATCTCGGCGTGTCAGCTTAATGTGGGAGGAAAGCCCAAAGTGATGCAGGTCTCAGACGTTTACCACTTCGGTGAAACCCACGAGCATGGGTATGGTGCTGACAAACCTAGAAACATAATCAGGGCGAACCAGGATTCGAACCCACAATCATAGGTTTCTGGCGTGCCCAAGGGACGCAACTCTGCACAGCGAATCGTGGCTCCTTAGACGACTGGGCCACCCGTGACCCCCATCTTAACTACGAAGCACCTGTGAGGCAAAACAGTATGGACATTGAATCATCAGAACTAATTCAATTCAGCATGGACATTATATTCAGCAGACATTTCTTAACAGCTTGTATAACTCCATAGAACTGTAAAGTATCAATACCAAACCTTGCTTTAAAATCAGCTAAGGGGAGATAATCTCTTTGTTTTTACAAAACGTCCATGATTTGACTGACACCTTTGTCAACCAGTGGGAACTGAAGAAAGATGCCAACTTTAGCATTAGGATGATAATAAAGAGAGAAGCAGTGCCATAGCCAGCCGGGGGGACTGCCCCCTCTGGATTTTTTACAGAAAACATTTTTCCTTGTGAAAGTAACTTGAACTTGATACTTGTACAAATATTTGCCCCAGCTGTCAAAAAAAGTTAACTACGGCCTTGAGAAGGCTTAACAAATGACACTAAACAGTCTTTCCAAAGTTATATTTTTTATCTTTCCAGCTATAACTTTCCAAAGACAGTAGAACAGACTTTTCCCTTTATTATCTACATTCACTTCAGCCAATTTGTCATTTTCAGGGACTGTTAAGAAATATTTGAAATCTTAATCTGTTTCAAAAGTTGAAAACTTTTCAAACTTGATGCCAATAAATATGTATGAAACATTTTAAGTGTGAAAAAAAGTTCCCAAGTTTATTATTTTACACTGATGTTCAAAGAAAATACTCCAAATTCGCAAAAAAATATGGAATAAAATATTTAGATAAATCTCTCGATTGGGAACAGATATATTTGAAGCCTTCTTTAACAACTAGAGATACAAGGCTGAGATGGTTTTAACACAAAATTATTCATAGAATCCTTACAACCAACTCATTTCTTTGTAAAATTAAAATGTGATCAAATGATCTGTGTTTGTTTATTTGTTTGTTGTGTAACGCCGCACTCAGCAATATTCCAGCTATATGACGGCGGTCTGTAAATAATCAAGTCATGAGCATCGATCCACGCGATTGGGATACGATGACATACATCACCAAAGTCAGCGAGCCTGACCACCCGATCCCGTTAGTCGCCTCTTACGACAAGCGTAGTAGCCATTTACGGCAAGCATGGGTTGCTGAAGACCTATTCTACCCCGGAATCTTCACGGTCCAAATCACTTGTACATTTGTTCTGTGAATGTGGAAAAGTAAAAATATTTTTGGAAATGGATTGGTTGACAGATATATACATATATGAGCTTAACATACATGACCCAGAGTTTATGTCATGTAGTTGTTAAAAATACTGTTTACATTGACAAAGTCTTTAACTTCATTATATTATTTGCCAACTATTTCATTTATAAATGCAAGGTGAAGGATATTTTTCTGAACTTAAACTATTTCAAACGGGAATAACACTTTTGTTTAGGTTTTGAAAAATGTATTCATTTTAATTAAAGTACTCAGAGAAAGTTTTAATCACAACTGATGCAGTCATTGTCTTTTTGAGAACCATATATTTATTCCAATGTACTTGACCCGGTACAAATATGTATACATTCTTCTGTGTGAATGGTGTATGGATGCGATGTGTATGTCCTTTTTTATTTCATAAAACAGCACAAGACCATTGTTTGAAATTATTTTGAATAATTTCGTTAATGGAGGTTCATATTTACCCTGGGCCTGGATCTCTATACTGTAACAGGGGCTAGTGAATAAACTAGGGCTGGGACGGGCTACCCGGGTCAGTTTGTTCCTGAGTAAGACCCGGGTAACCACAGGACTACCCAGACCCGTGGTTAGTTACGTGATATATTGTTTATTGACAAAAAACATCTGGAACTCTATGGCTACACTACAAGGCACTGATGTTCGCATTTCTTTTTGACGATGCACCCATTCTTTCTGACTATTGTTGAATTAAGATATAACTTGAGTCAACTTCAGTGTATGCATGACCAGATTGTTTGATACACGTATATAAATACGTTTTGCCAGGGCTATGGTAAAAAAAATTCCAATCGGACAATTTGTTCCTATCTTTTGAGACCTACAGTGGGTACCTGGGTATGGTCGGGTAATAGTGGGATGGGTACACGGGTAGTGAATTTGGACTCGTTCCAGCTCTAGAATAAACATAGATAAGAAAATGAAAAATACTGATTCAGTTGACATTTCTATTCTGACAAAAACAATCAAAGTTTAGGAAAAGTAAATCTCCACCTGTAAGTTCAGCATCTATTACTTGCCCGTGAAGAGATCTCCCGTTTAATAAACATACAGCTGTATTACACATTGTGTAATACCAAAACGCGTGGTTATGTACTCTCGGAACAAGTTTCACGAACAAATATTGAAAGCTCTCAACATCCCTTGGCTTATTCAACGACATTGCATGTGAAGATGATAGATCACTGAGAGGAGCTTATGCACATTCGATGACCTCAGCAACCTTGTTGCTAGGCTGACGTCACATGGTATTGTTTCGCCGATGGATCTTGCAACAAAATTCCACAAATTACGTCGTTGTGATCGTTCCACAAGGCGATCGCACTGTAGCGCAGCGACAGTCGTAAGTTTCTGTTAAAGTATGTGAGTTGCAATAACCTTAGCGCTACGATAACTTTGTGAAACGGACACCTGAATTCTAAAGGTGGACTGTTGTATGGTATTAAATTCGGACGTTTCAACTTTTGACGTGTTTGAAGTATTATTGTGTTAAACTCAATTGGACTATGCAGTGGATCGTGTAGCTGTCAGCCTATTCACACTCAACAGTATAATTCTAAAAACGTTATAAATGGCAAGTAATAAATAAAATACTAAATGAGCTCCTGTGTAAAACCAATTCACTCGTTTCATAAAATTGATATTACACGGGAGCTTGTTTGGTATTCTATATTTATGAATGAATGAATGAATACTCTTTATTTCCCCCAATGATTTGGAGAGTAGTACATACAATTACATTACATTATTTGACAACGGCAATGACAAAATACATGTACGTACAACAGATTGAGCTGGGTAAGCAGTAATGAAGTGATGCGTGAAACTATATTACATGATGTGTGACATAGCTTCACAAATACAATATGGATGTTAAGTTCCATGAGCTGACATGTTTAGCCACGATACTCATGAATGCTGCCCAGCTCTCAAGTGTCATGTCTTGGACCACATCTGTAATAGCACCGAGGTATGTCAGAATCTTGACGGCATCACTAGACGTGTCCTCAAGTCTGAGATATGTTTCAAGGCTAACATTGTCAAATAGAGACTCACTAAGCACATTTCTCTGTTTCATTAGGCCATCACAGTAAAGCAATTGGTGCTTAACAATGTCATCACATTCACAGTTACAGATAAGACACAGTCCAGACGTTACAGGTAATATGCCGAGCTTTACAAGAGCATATACAGGGGGGGAAGCAATATCATACCATACACACAGAGACCAGAGACGATGTGGGGCAAGGCGGGTGTGGATAGCACTAAACCTATGCATGTCTGGACGTTGTTGCAAAGTATTTCTCCAATTCATATTTTCAGACTCACTGATAGCTCGTTGTACCATGCTCTTCCATACACTCTTAGATGGAAATTCCCCAGAGTTGATTAGTTTATCTAAGACGCCTGAGAATCCATACTTTTGAGCCACATTCAGTAGATCATGTGTTATGGATCTGGCACTGTTGGAGATCGTGGTGACATACTGGGATAGTCTGAGATAGAAAATCGGCTTCATAATGGTTGTGCCTGCTGCTCTACAGAGTCGTCCCAGAAAGAGAAGCTTCATTTTCTCCACCTTGCCCAGCATTGACCACAATCCTAGAACCTGGGTTGTAGCAGCTGTAGAGGATCTCCTGTGAAGGTTTTGGACTCTTCGTGCAAAGTAGCGCTGTAGGGTTTCCATCTCACTGATCTCACGGTTGTTGATATTAGGCCAGAGCTCACATGCATAGAAGGCAGTTGGGAAGATCACTCGTTGCCAGATATTCGATGAAGATACTGGGCTCAATCCTCCAGCTCTAAGACCAACATTTCTTAAGGAGTTGATTGTCTGTCGCGCCTTAGCACAAGCCCTAGTAGTTCGTTCACTTGCTTTTTCCGTGTGTATCAGAGAGCCGGCATAAATCGTACTGTTTTGGATCTTCATTGTCACATCTCCAATTCTGAAGACAGGTCTATTACAATGTCTTCTGTTATTGCAAAAAGACAAGACACAGCTCTTATTGGCGTTATATGTCAGTCTCCAGCGCCGAGCATACTGGTGGATAGTATCAAGAGACATATTCAGTCCATGTACACTCGTACTCACAACAGTAGTGTCATCAGCCAGTACTACCGTTGGGATGTGCTCCTTACCAACAATTAGTCCACATTGTAGATTATCAAGCTGAGCTATCAGGTCATTAATATAGACTAGAAACATCCATGCTGAGAGTACACGACCTTGTCCTACTCCTTGTTGAACATTAAACAAATCACCTGTGCTCCCATTGTATTTAACACAAGCACTTGCTTCTTGGTAAGATTGACGGATAATGTGCCATGCACGGCCTTTCACACCAAGATTGTATAGTTTCAGTAGCAGCCCCTCATGCCATATCCTGTCGAAGGCCTTTTCGTTATCCAGAAAGGCAACATATATATTTGAGTGTCTATCTTGATAATAGGAAATAGCCTCTTTTAACACATATGTAGCAACACTGGCGCCATGCTCTTTCCGGAAGCCGCACTGGAGACGATGTGGGAAATCAGGATTAATAGATTTGATGTAGGACTCCAGTCTGTCTAGCAACAGCCTCTCAAATACCTTCCCAATCACGGATGTTAGAGTGATACCGCGATAATTAGCTGGGTTGCATTTATCTTTATTATTCCCTTTGTAGATGGGAATAATAGTTCCAGTTCTCATCATGACAGGCGTGTAACAAGTACTGATCATCATATTGTAGAGGTGTGCCAGATGTTTAAACAGAAGATTGTCAGCATTACAGAGGTGTTCCACAGTAATACAGTCTGGTCCAGGAGACTTATTCTTTTTCAGCCTCTTAATGGTTGATTTCACTTCATTAGATGTAATACTTGTGGCCAGGATTGGATCGTTCTCGGATATGTTACTGTTTGTTATATCACAAACCTTTGATTTTGTTTCCTCGTAAAAGTCCGTTTCAAACTCAGGCCTACCGAGAGGAGACAGCAGATCTCCGTAGTAATCAGTCCACATATTGCAGATGTCCTCGGGTGTGCTGGCCGTCTTGTCTTTATACTGTAGAGATGTACATGTTACATTAGTCTTCCTCTGTTTCCTGACAGTTCTATAAAATTCACCAATGTCCACTTCACAGGCAGAGTTCAGCTCTGTATACTTGTGTCTGTCCCATTGCCGTTCGGCTTTTCTTTTCTGTCGGCGGAAGTTGCATTTAGCTGCTTTATACTGTTTATAAGAGCCATGTGCATCTCCTCTAGGTTTACCTTGAGATATCCATTGTCGTCTAGCATGACGCATATGGTAGTGGTAGTAGTCTAGACTAGATCCTCTCCAATAGGGTCGAAGGTATGGTCTGTAGTGTCCTGTTGGGATGTACATTGCTGTTGACGTGTGGAGAGAGCTCACTATAGCATCAAAGTAATATTCCACCATATCGCTGTCAGCATGTGTCACGTCTGGAAGGGTGTCACCAAGTATTTTGTTAACTTCAGATGAGTACATCTTCAGTTCAAGGCCATTCGCCTTCTGCCATTTGTAAGTTGGGGGAGTCCATAGCTTTTGCTCTGTTAAGAACGCATCGCTAAGGAATGATACCACTACTGGTGAATGATCCGATATCTCGAAATCGATGTTGTTATTGACAGAGGTCGTCAGCACAGAAGATTGAAGAGCATCTGGCAAGAAAATATAATCAATCAGAGATGACTGTGTTCCAGCCTTGTTGCACCATGTCTTGAGATGACCTAGAGTGACACCACAATTGTATGATGGTATCATGTTTCTTGTATCCAAGTATGACTGCAGTACAGTGGAGCGAGGGGATGCTGGGTAATTTACAAGATCTGTATTAAAATCTCCACAAAGAACAACATAACTGCTTTCTGATAGCTCATCAACCACGTCGAACACTTCCTTGACACTCTCCTCATACACTGCTGTGTTGTGATTAGTGGAGGGGAGCAGAGCACACACTACATACATATCAGCACACTGGGGACGGGAGAGTCTCACAGCCACAACACTATCATACTCACATTCACATATATCAGTGTACCTGTATATATTTTTCTTAACTAAAATTGCCACACCGCCTTCCCCTCTACATCCTCGCTGGTTAGCCTTAACCTTAGCTGCGACGTCAAACTTATCATTTAGACAGTCAAACCAGCTCTGCGTTCTATCGTTCAACCAGTGTTCACACACTGCAAGGGCATCACAGTCACTCGCTAGTTTCTCTAAGTACTGTCGACAATACAGTACACCTCTTACATTCCATGTTCCTATACTTAGCATGGTAATAAGTATTAGGCAAGTGTTCAATGCTATCATGTTAGACGAGTTAGCGTGCACCATTGCTGTTTCTGTGTGACTGTGGTATCCATTCCCGACATCTTACATTTGGCGGCCAGAAATCTTCATTCTCACTAACTTGTTCTGCTGTCCTGCTGTCAATGTTCACTCTCAGTGTGTAGGTGGGATTGTAGCCTTCCCAGTGCCTCAGCAAACGAACGTAACTCACATGGACGCCACGTTGTTTAGCATATTCACATATGGCATCTTGCACTGTCTTTAGTGGTTTACCCGCTCTTACATACGATAGCACAAACCTTTTTGTTTTAAATTTTGGTGAAACACCTCTAAAAGCTCTGGACCATTCACTGTCGAATCTCACAGATCTCTGAGCATTGTCTTCGTGTTGTTTATGGCTAACGTCATCATATCCAACATCCCTGATATGGTCATCGCTGACTCTGTCATGTTGAGTAGGACTTGTACATAAAGTGTCACTGTCGCCGCCCTCGTCGTTCTCGGTGTTGTCTCCAATAGTATTCCTCTCGTGGTTAATAGTAATGTCCACAACACTTGGAGTTTTTGTTTTGTTGGTCTCTGCTGTTCTGGTCAGAACACTGTCAGCCTCATGTCCTGGTTGTGCGCTGGAGCTCACAGTTCTGAGCAGCGGGGGGCTTCTAACTGCCTCAGAGTACATAAGCTTGTTGCGAGTGTTTACTATGTCTATTTTGCCGTCTATAGCATTGGTTTTTTGCGTTAGGTTACTAATATTGTCTTTCAGATCACTTTCAAGGTGGTGTATCCGTGAATCTTTCTCACGTAGTTGAGAGACTAGTATACGTACGTCTCCACGTAGCTTGAGCTCTACGTTTTTAGACCTTTCTATCTCCCTTGACGCTGTTATTAGGTCGCTGTTCTTCTCTTCGATGGTCCGCTTCATATTCCTGAGTTCAGTGTCGAATTTGTTGTGTAGTTCTTCAATTCTTCTGTCCAGACTGGCATTATGTTCGCTCGCAGAATCCCGCATTTCCATCATTTTTGCATAGATTAGGGTCAAAAGATCATTACCTCTTTGTGTATCCAGTAAACTATCTCCTGGTACGTTGGTGGGACGTGCGTTTGATTTGCCTTTGCTGAGTACTTGTTTTTCCAGTATATGAGAGGGGATTGTCTGTGTAATAAAACCATATAGGCAATATACATCAGACGCATATTTCTCAATTACAGACTTCCTGGAATGTTCTCTTTGTACACGTTTTGGTAGATATCCATTTGGGGTATCGTGTCGAGTATCCTTGGCTACGTCATAAAGACTTTGTCTCACTTCGTTTAGTTTTTCTTCATCATCATTGTATATGTCCAGAAGTTCAGTTTCAAACGAAATTCGATCTAGTTGTCCAAGGCGTCTGTGTATTTCATTGAAAATGTCATTGTCTATATCATCCACACTTTGTGTAGCGTATCGAAGGTCATCTTCCTCGCTGACCGAGCTGCTCAATGCTTCACTGACTCTGCTTGGGCTGCCCATTGTTTGTTGATTAATCGGACGCTCAGTCAATCAGCACTGGTCCACTTGTGTAGATTCTCCTTCACATTTCTACACATTTTGGACACTTGATTTTAAACAAAACCCAAAATCATCTTCATGATTCACTAACATGAGTCCATTGTAGGTATCATCATAATCACCTTACACGTTTCAACTTTTGACGTGTTTGAAGTATTATTGTGTTAAACTCAATTGGACTATGCAGTGGATCGTGTAGCTGTCAGCCTATTCACACTCAACAGTATAATTCTAAAAACGTTATAAATGGCAAGTAATAAATAAAATACTAAATGAGCTCCTGTGTAAAACCAATTTTATGAAACTCGTGAATAGTTGTGGTATCTATTCACTCGTTTCATAAAATTGATATTACACGGGAGCTTGTTTGGTATTCTATATTTATGTATCCATAGGTTTCACGTCACACAATTCACTGACAGTAACAAATGCATGATGCTACATATTTTAACTCTTGATTTCACAAAATAAAAGGAAGTTAAAGAAACAACCCACCTTGGCAATAGCTTCAATGCCCTGGAGGGTCATGTCAGACAAGAGCTTGGCTTCGATACACCGGAGGAACACATCATCCTCCATCTTGTCTGCCATTTCCTCTTCCTGTAACACAGAAGGGGAGTCCATCGTATGAAAACTGCTTACGTTAAGACATTGTCTTTCATATAGATCTGACAGGACTGCACTCTCAGAGAAAAAAATTAGAGTGATTCAGTTGATTCATCACAGGACATATGAATCCTAATTATCATCATGGAGTGCACAATAGCAGGACATTTCTTCTAGATATACATCCATTAGCTGGTCTGAGTTTAAAAACACTTCACTGGTAAGGAAATGAATGTAAATTAGCCTCAATTGTATCAGAGAACAGATTTACAAATAAGTAACGAGTCAACAGAAGATGATTAAATAAAGTTGCCTCCTCAAACCTCATTTTTGCTTTCATCGGAGTTCATGATTCGGATTCTCAGGACGAGTTTTTCGGCATTATCATCATTGAATATGCAGTTGAGATCATCTCCAAAACCTGGAAAATGGAAATTCAAATTATTGCTACTTTACCTTACATAAGGACACATCATTGATCATACAATCACATCAGGACATATCATTGCTCATACAATCACATCAGGACACATCATTGCTCATACAATCACATCAGGACACAGCATTGATCATACAATCATGTCAGGACACATCATTGCTCATACAATCACATCAGGACACAGCATTGATCATACAATCACATCAGGACATATCATTGCTCATACAATCACATCAGGACACATCATTGCTCATACAATCACATCAGGACATATCATTGCTCATACAGTCACATCAGGACACAGCATTGATCATACAATCATATCAGGACACATCATTGCTCATACAATCACATCAAGACACATCATTGCTCATACAATCACATCAGGACATATCATTGCTCATACAGTCACAACAGGACACAGCATTGATCATACAATCATATCAGGACACATCATTGCTCATACAATCACATCAGGACACATCATTGCTCATACAATCACATCAGGACATATCATTGCTCATACAGTCACATCAGGACACATCATTGCTCATACAGTCACATCAGGACACAGCATTGATCATACAATCACACCAGGACATAGCATTGCTCATACAATCACATCAGGACATATCATTGCTCATACAGTCACATCAGGACACAGCATTGATCATACAATCATATCAGGACACATCATTGCTCATACAATCACATCAGGACACATCATTGATCATACAATCACATCAGGACAGATCATTGCTCATACAATCACATCAGGACACATTATTGCTCATACAATCACATCAGGACACAGCATTGATCATACAATCATATCAGGACACATCATTGCTCATACAATCACATCAGGACACAGCATTGGTCATACAATCACATCAGGACATATCATTGCTCATACAATCACATCAGGACACATCATTGCTCATACAATCACATCAGGACACATCATTGCTCATACAATCACATCAGGACATATCATTGCTCATACAGTCACATCAGGACACATCATTGCTCATACAGTCACATCAGGACACAGCATTGATCATACAATCACACCAGGACACATCATTGCTCATACAATCACATCAGGACATATCATTGCTCATACAGTCACATCAGGACACAGCATTGATCATACAATCATATCAGGACACATCATTGCTCATACAATCACATCAGGACACATCATTGATCATACAATCACATCAGGACAGATCATTGCTCATACAATCACATCAGGACACATTATTGCTCATACAATCACATCAGGACACAGCATTGATCATACAATCATATCAGGACACATCATTGCTCATACAATCACATCAGGACACAGCATTGCTCATACAATCACATCAGGACATATCATTGCTCATACAATCACATCAGGACGCATCATTGCTCATACAATCACATCAGGACATATCATTGCTCATACAGTCACATCAGGACACATCATTGCTCATACAATCACATCAGGACATATCATTGCTCATACAATCACATCAGGACATAGCATTGCTCATACAATCACATCAGGACACATCATTGCTCATACAGTCACATCAGGACACATCATTGCTCATACAATCACATCAGGACACATCATTGCTCATACAATCATATCAGGACACATCATTGCTCATACAATCACATCAGGACACATCATTGCTCATACAATCACATCAGGACACATGATTGATCATACAATCACATCAGGACATATCATTGCTCATACAATCACATCAGGACACATCATTGCTCATACAGTCACATCAGGACACATCATTGCTCATACAATCACATCAGGACACATCATTGCTCATACAATCACATCAGGACACAGCATTGATCATACAATCATATCAGGACACATCATTGCTCATACAATCACATCAGGACATAGCACTGATCATACAATCACATCAGGACATAGCATTGATCATACAATCACATCAGGACATATCATTGCTCATACAATCATATCAGGACACATCATTGATCATACAATCACATCAGGACATATCATTGCTCATACAGTCACATCAGGACACAGCATTGATCATACAATCATATCAGGACACATCATTGCTCATACAATCACATCAAGACACAGCATTGATCATACAATCATATCAGGACACATCATTGCTCATACAATCACATCAGGACATAGCACTGATCATACAATCACATCAGGACACAGCACTGATCATACAATCACATCAGGACATATCAATATGTTAATATGGATGAGTGAATGTTCTCCACCAAAGTTAGCAATATTAAGCTTCATCATTGAGACCTTGAAATCCCAATACGGCACTTCAACATGGAGCTACAACAGGTGCGTCCATGTTAATGTGTGTGTTACACTCAGCCTATGTTCTGTACCAGCCATTCTGCCAGGGTAAGTTGACAGACCAGCAACCAAGTCAGCAAGCCTGGTCACCTGATCCGTTTATAGTCACCTCTTACGACCAGCATTGGTTGCTAGGGGCCGATTCTAATCCGGATACTCACGGATTCCCAATTTAGTCACACTAGAAATGGGATGCACTGGTCTACTGGCCAACACACCTGCAGTGATTTTCTCCGAGATCTGTTCCATGGTGAGTTTCCTGTCCCTAATACCCTTCCTGTCCAACTCGATGCGGAGCAGCCAGACTGAAATCCTGGACGCGTCGAAGTCGGGCATCTCGTAATACACACTGACCCATTCCTGGTCCTCCACAATCACAGTGTTCATGGGGTCGGGGTCGTAGTAGATGGCTGTGTTAGCCGTCACCTTCCGCAACGTGGTGTGCTCAAGTCGACATAGTACATCCTGTCGAGCAGCAACAATCACTCATTAAAACAGTGTTTGACATTTTGACAAAATGACTGTTGAATTCCTAACAGAAAATGTGGATTCTGGATCAGAATATTTTTTAGTTAAATTAAACTTTAATCTTTCCGCATCAGTTTGTGTTATTTTTTTGTGTCATAATACGATACGTATCATAACCTCACTCTATGAAACATACTGCACACTGGATCCTATCGAAGCATATTAGTGCCACAGTCTAAAAATAATATCATCTATGTAGATGATACCTACATATACGTAGATTATACTTACGTGTCATAAATGATACTTAAATAAACTTAGATGATACATTGATATAAGTAGATGATACTTTGATATACGTAGATGATACTTTGATATACATAGATGGTACATTGATATTCGTAGATGATACTTTGATATACGTAGATGATACATTGATATACGTAGATGATACTTTCATAGATGCAGATTATACTTACATGTCATAAATGATACTTAAATAAACTTAGATGATACATTGATATTTGTAGATGATACTTTGATATACGTAGATGATACATTGATATACATAGATGATACTTTCATAGATGCAGATGATACCTACATATACATAGATTATACTTTCATGTCATAAATGATACTTAAATATACTTAGATGATACTTTGATATACATAGATGGTACATTGATATACGTAGATGATACTTTGATATACGTAGATGAAACTTTGATATACGTAGATGATACTTTGATATACGTAGATGATACTTTGATATTCGTAGATGATACATTGATATACGTAGATGATACTTTGATATACGTAGATGATACTTTGATATACGTAGATGATACTTTGATATACATAGATGGTACATTGATATACGTAGATGATACTTTGATATACATAGATGATACTTTGATATTCGTAGATGATACATTGATATACGTTGATGATACATTGATATACATAGATGGTACATTGATATACGTAGATGATACTTTGATATACGTAGATGAAACTTTGATATACGTAGATGATACTTTGATATACATAGATGATACTTTGATATACGTAGATGATACATTGATATACGTAGATGATACTTTGATATACATAGATGGTACTTTGATATTTGCAGATGATACATTGATTAAATAGATGGTATATTGATATACGTAGATGATACTTTGATATACATAGATGGTACTTTGATATTCGTAGATGATACATTGATATATAAGATGATACATTGATATACGTAGATGATACTTTGATATACGTAGATGATACTTTGATATACGTAGATGATACTTTGATATACATAGATGGTACTTTGATATTCGTAGATGATACATTGATATACGTAGATGATACATTGATATACGTAGATGATACTTTCATAGACGTAGGTGATACTTACATATACGTAGATTATACTTTGATATTCGTAGGTGATACTTACATATTCGTAGATGATCCTTTGAAGTATGTAGATGATACTGACATATACTCAGATGATAATTTGTGACATGGTGATACTGACATCTACGTAAACGATATAGGTAGATGATACTTTCAGATATTTAGATGATACTTTGATATACGTAGATGATGCTTTTTAGACTGTGGCACTAATACACTTCCATAGGATCGAAATATTTTCCGTAAAATTAAACATAAATCTTTCAGCATCGGCTTGTGTTAAATTTCTGTGTCATGATAACACATGTATCATGACCTCACTCCACAAAATGTATCATCCAAGCCCGACCAAGGATCCACAGGACTTTCATGGTGCTGTACAGCGATTGCATCTATTGGTCTTGTCACTCACCTTGGCCTTCTCTGCGTCCCTTGCTGCCTGGTCCAGGAGGTACACAGTCAGGGAGGGGGTCTTGGGCTTCTTGGAGATGTTGATGATTTCCTTCAGACGAGGTACACCCAGGGTTACGTTTTTAGCAGACACACCAGCATAATGGAAAGCGTTCAGTGTCATCTGTGTGGTAGGTTCTCCAAGAGACTGTGCGGCCAGGGCTCCCACCATTTCACCTGCATGGGCCTACAAACATCACACAAACGTTAGCAAATGCCACAAACAGATCTCTACAGAGGGAGTAAACAGGTCAATTTGAACAAATTGATTATGATTCATAACTACATTTTTGGAAAAAAAATACTGATACTTACAAACCCTGAAGATGCTCCCAACAACCTCACTTGTTAAGATGATCGTGCGAGGGGGTGACAACCAAACAACCATTTCAAAATGAGCTGCACCATTTCTTAAATGCATTATCGCAAAATTTGGAGACAAATAACGAACAAAAATAACTAATTCAGGATTAGTCTAAAAACTATCAGTGTCCGTAGAAAATAATAAGAGTGTCTGACACATGATAAAAAAGGTCATGTCCAAAGTTGTCATCACTGGAAACATATACTGTGTAGTCACCAATGACAACACTTCAACGCACTAAGAAATAGGAACTAAAATAACTTTGCAAAACAGTTTCAAAACCCTCAGGGACACAATACTGATGGACCTCAGACGGATGAAACAAGCATGAATTACTCATATTCCCCATCAGTGGTATATTTTATTGTATGTAAGACTCAAGCCACTTCTCACAGAAGCCACCAGGTGCCCAAGTCCAATTTGGTGTCATGGATATAAGGGAAAATATAACTTTCACAAATTACTTAATCACAATCACCAGTTCATGGCTAGACCGATTTCTGTGAAAAGTTAGATCAAGAAATATTGAACAGTCCTTGAGTAATGCTCCGGAAACATAACAGACGGAGAACAACCTATAATATTCCCTCCCACTTGATGGTCGGGGATAAATAGTAATGGATTAGACATTTTCCCCACCTCCTGTTGTGTCACAAACAAACACACACCCAACATAATCAGCGCAGGCAAACAAATTGCAGCAATCATTGTATAACATACCTGAGCATGTAAGAATTTTGTCTCAATTTCACCAATGATCCATTCAAATGCTTCTGCAGACAGTCTGAACTCGTTGGCAACACGTTTGGCGCAAAGTGTGGCTCTCACCCAAATCTTCATGAGAATGGTGGCATTGGCGTTAGCCTGGACACTCAGTCTGTCCTCTCCGGCCACCACGATCAGTCGACGGCACAGCTCTCGCACACCTGACAGATAAGGAGGAAACAAACATCCCTTTAGAAATGCTGCAAAGCTAACACTTCAATCGTGCACTGAGACTCAAACAGTACATCATGATTGTGAAAAATGATACTATTTTAGAGACATTGGTAATTTGCAATGTAACAGGATAGCAAGTTACTTCAGCAGATACAGATAGCCATTGTGTCTCCCTTCCAAGGTAGTTTAGACAATGAATACGGGTGTGCTATTTTGTCAAAGATCTCCAGAGATTTTACAATAGATGACCTTGGTGTTGCCAGGACATCGTCATTCAGTCACATGACTCACCTTCTACAACTTTGATCGGGTGTAGATCTGCTGGTTTTCTTGTGTTGATTCGGAAGATTTTCTGAGCATTTGTGATCATTCTCATCAGGTTGCACGGCAACACAATCTTTCCATCCCCGGTGGGGAAAATCTGTCTCAGGGCATTCCTGTCTTCCCTCAACTGTTCAAATTCACGTTCCAGCTCAGAAATGACAGCTGGGTCACCGATCACATCCTTGATCACCTCCTCTGACAAACACTTCCTCAAATCCCTACAAATTCAAAAAATATATTTCAAATTTCATATGGATCATCCTTATTTTTGTCTACAGAAGTGTCTTCTCTGTAAGAAAGGAATAATATCTATTAAAGTCTCCAGATAATCTCAAATGTTTTCAAAGAAACATATTTGTTGTAATTTTGCTGAAATACAATATTAAAAGTCACCTTATATACCACAAACCAAGCCTACAGGTGGCTTAAGGAAGCAAAAATATGGTTAATCTAAAAATACCTTTCATTTGTTGGTTTGAACTTGAACTTCTTCTCGAAAGCTCTGTTTGATTGGTTGAGTGGAGGCATATTCTGGAACTCGACATGTGTGGCGTCCATACCATCCTCTCCATATCTCAACTGGACCAGTTGTTCGACCTGGTTACGTACTGTGCCATCATACTTGACCATCACACTCTCCATAGCCTTGATCAACCGACGCTGGATGTAACCTGAAAGTGATTATGTACGTGAGCCACTATCCAGCAGAAAACAGAGTGAGTGAGTGAGTTTGGTTTTACACTGCTTTGAACAGTATTTCAATGATATCGAGGCATTTCGGAGAAAGGCAGGTTCTAGACATTTACAAATGTCAAGTAACATAATCAGGGTAAATTTGGGATGTCACTGCACTCTCAGAGAAAAATTTTTAGAGTGATTCAGTTGATTCATCATAGGATCTCTGATCAAGATTATCATCATTGAGTGCACAATATTTCATTTCAACCTGTACCTGTTTGCTGATTAAATGTGTCAGTAATAGAGGTATCTGCTGCTGATGCTGCTACTGTAAATAATTCATCACCATCACACTAGCAGTGTTAGAAATTAAGGGAGAGGCTTTTGTATTTTAATCCAATGATGGCAAGTCTGAGTAATATTAACATCAGCGGCACAACAAGGACCTCCAGACTTCACATCCTTACTACTGAACGCAACTGCCTGATCACCCACCAGTTTCTACAGTTTTTACAGCAGTATCAATGAGACCCTCTCGTCCACCCATAGCGTGGAAGAAGAATTCTGAAGGAGTGAGACCGGTAAGAAATGAGTTCTCAACAAAGCCTCGAGACTCGGGACCATAGTCATCTTTGGTGAAGTGAGGCAGTGTCCGATGTTTGAAACCGAATGGAATACGTTTACCCTCCACATTCTGCTGTCCCACACAGGCAATAACCTGAAGAAAAATAAAGTTAATAAGGACTTAACAAATACAACTATTATTATAACTATTTCTGCAAATACTTTCAGGATTTCAGGATAATTTGTTAGACCTTACAAGGGGACATTCATCATGAAAATCTTCAGATAGTATCTACAGAATATACATAAAGTATTAAATCAATATTACAGGACATTCGTTTTCTCAGCTCGTATTAATGGACCACTGACACTATCATCTATCAGGTCGTTATTACCTCATTCAGAACACAAGCAGGCTAATTATACTACTCAAAAGAAGTTAAGGATCATCCGATTCTTTCATATTGGTAATGTTAATCTGTCATGGCATGAGAGATTAACTATTTTAATATGAAAGAATCAGGCTTCGGGGTTAAGCTGGAGTGTGCAAGTTTGTCATTCCATGCCCAGTCTATCATGATGAGGTAAACTACACTGAGGCTATTTTGCGGGATGTGCTTACACGTGGCCTGAATGACCCCGAAATCCAGTTAGACCTCCTTGGTGACCAAAACTAAGACATGACTCTTGAGCAGGCTTTCCAGTTTGTAGAATCCAAAGAAGCTGGTATGCGTTCCACATCACGACTTCTTGACTCTCAAGGTGCTGAAGCAGTCGACAGCACTTACCGACGCAACAGGAATGCATCTCACAGCGAAACTAGAAAGTTTGATAAATCTGAAGTATGCAACTACTGTGGCAAGAAGGGGCACGGATAGACTGCAGCCCCCAAAATCAGAAAGAAAGAATCCCCAGCCTATGGTCATACATGTACTTGCACCCTGTGCAGTCGATCCAATCACTTTGATTCTGTGTGCCGCAGCAGAAACAAGCAAAAATTGGAGAAACCCAGTAAAACACCAGAGGAATATGAAGGTGCAATCTTTGATACACAAACCTTGGCTGGCATCGTGGTAAAAGAGCCATCACCCTTGCCCACCACCTGTATGACCAACTGTCTGACACATGGATAAAACAAGCCTCTCGACCCCAGCCTTTCACTCATCTCACTGCAAAAGTTCTTGGGGAAGACTATGAACAACTGGACTTCGGACACATCTTCACATTTAAACCAAAATCAGCTTTCCTTGCCGTCATGGCTGACACTGGCTGTCAGAGTTGTCTTGCTGGTATCAAGGTTATATATCAACTTGGAAGCGTGACCTCATTCCTATGAGGTGAGGTGAAATGGGGTTTAACGTCGCGTCTAAGATTATTGCACTTATATAGCAACGTGAATGCACAGGTATGTGTGTGGCTGCTTGTACTAGTCCGGACTGATGCCGATTTATAGTGCTAGCCCACGGAGATACCATGCCGCAGTTTAACATGAATACCCCACTCAGACACAGTATACTGACTCCGAGCCGACCAGTCCTTGTTTTAGCCCCTTAATGCCGAGCACCAGACAGGGTAACAACAAGTACCATCTTTTAACCTCATTTTGTATGACGCGGCTGGGGATCGAACCCCAGACCTTCCGCTCTCTGGTCGGACACTCTACCATTAATAATAATAACTACAGATTTATAAAGCGCTGGTATCCTGTTTGAAGAACTGCTCAAAAGCTCATTTGAGTCTACAACAAGTATTTGTCACAAAGTGACAAAATGTCCCCCGCCTGTATATACACCATAGTACCAAATTCGAAGACAATCCAGCGATTAGTTCTTGAGATATCGTGGCAACACCGTTTTCCAACTCCAAAAACAGATTTGCCTGCTGTGACCTTGAAAATGGGGTCAAGGTCACCAAAACCGCCTGGTGTATGCGATGTCTGTATATACACCATAGTTCCAAATATGAAGACAATCCAGTGTTTAGTTCTTGAGATATCGCGGCAACACCGTTTTTTTAACTACAAAAGCAGATTTGCCTGCTGTGACCTTGAAAATGGGGTCAAGGTCACCAAAACCGACTGGTGTCTGCGGTGTCTGTATATACACCATAGTTCCAAATATGAAAACAATCCAGTGTTTAGTTCTTGAGATATCGCGGCAACACCGTTTTCCAACTCCAAAAGCAGATTTGCCTGCTGTGACCTTCAAAATGGGGTCAAGGTCACCAAAACCGACTGGTGTCTGCGGTGTCAGTATATACACCATAGTTCCAAATATGAAGACAATCCAGTGTTTAGTTCTTGAGATATCGCGGCAACACCGTTTTCTAACACCAAAACAGATTTGCCTGCTGTGACCTTGAAAATTAGGTCAAGGTCACCAAAACCGACTGGTGTATGCGATGTCTGTATATATACCATAGTTCCAAATATGAAGACAATCAAGCGATTAGTTCTTGAGATATCGCGGCAACACCGTTTTCTAACTCCAAAAGCAGATTTGCCTGCTGTGACCTTGAAAATAGGGTCAAGGTCACCAAAACCGACTGGTGTCTGCGGTGTCTGTATATACACCATAGTTCCAAATATGAAGACAATCCAGTGTTTAGTACTTGAGATATCGTGGCAACACCGTTTTCCAACTCCAAAAGCAGATTTGCCTGCTGTGACCTTGAAAATGGGATCAAGGTCACCAAAACTGACTGGTGTCTGCGGAGTCTGTATATACACCATAGTTCCAAATATGAAGACAATCCAGTGTTTAGTTCTTGAGATATCGCGGCAACACCGTTTTCCAACTCCAAAAGCAGATTTGCCTGCTGTGACCTTGAAAATGGGGTCAAGGTCACCAAAACTGACTGGTGTCTGCGGAATTTGTATATACACCATAGTCCCAAATATGAAGACAATCCAGTGTTTAGTTCTTGAGATATCCCGGCAACAAACAGGTGAGACGTACGGACGTACGGACGTACGGACGGACTGTCGTGAATACTATATCCCCCGCTTCGCGCTTTCGCGCGGCGGGGGACAAAAAAAAAAGAGACATTACACAGCTAGGAAAACACAAAGCCTCAATACTCTAAGAAAGATTTGGTGAAAAGGTTTTGAGTCTTGATCGGAACAAAGTAGGACTGTCAATGTTCCTAATATCCAATGGCAGCCTATTCCATAGCTCAGGGGCAACTTTGGCGAAACTCCGACCTCCAAAAGTCGCCGTTCTAACACAAGGCACAGAGAGTGGGGACTGGGAGCTTGATCTGAGAGATCTCCCAGGCACGTACACTTCAAGAAGCTCGCTGATATAAGTTGGTTTTTGATTGTGTCTCGCATTGAACACAATCAGCATCACTTTATACTGGATTCTCTCATTGATTTTGAGCCAGTGGAGGTTCCGTAGAATCGGTGTGATATGGTCAAACTTTTTGGATTTAGTAACAAGCCTGGCAGCACAGTTTTGAACTGTTTGAAACTGCCTGTTCTCCATGTGTACCTGGGAGATGTTGATTTTCGATCCTTTGGATCCAGCCACCACCATAGCCTTGAAGTTGTTGTATTCAGACAGGGACTTCTGAGCCTTACTTCCAGTCTTGTCACGAGCATCGTTCAGGATTATTTTGACCTGAAGCATGACAGAACATAATAACGTCAATAATAATAATAATAATAATAATAATAATAATAATATTTCTAATGCACCAAATTCACAACCTAAAGCATGCTCAAAGCGATACATTATTTTTTTTATTTGTTTGTTGTTTAATGCCGCACTCAGCAGCATTCCAACTATATGACGGTGGTTTGTAAATAAACCAGTCTGGACCAGACAATCCAGTGATTTATATCATCAGCACTGATCCACGCAATTGCGATACGATGACATGTATCAACCAAGTCAGAGAGCCTGATCCCCCGATCCCATAAGTTGCCTCTTAAGACAAGCAAAGTAGCCTTCAACAGCAAGCATGGGTTGCTAAAGACTTATTCTATCCCGAATCTTCCCAGGTCTGTACTTTACTAAGAAAGATTTATCTGAAATATAACATTTCTTACATTTGACAACTTTCTAAAAGGTATTGTGTTATAATAATAATACCAATAATAATGTGCCAAATCCACACCCTAAGGCATTATCCTCAAAACAATACACTTTAGCCCCGGGGAACATTATTTTGAGATATAACCCAAACAGGATGTGTAAGAGTCATAAATTAAGTTTACAGTTACATTAAAGTGAGTGAGTGAGTGAGTTTGGTTTAACGCCGCTTTTAACAGTATTCAAGTTATATCGCGGTGTGTCAGCTCAATGTGGGAGGAAAGCCCGAAGTGATGCAGGTCACAGACGTTTACCACTTCGGTGAAACCCACGAGAACGGGTATGGTGCTGACAAACCTAGAAACATAATCGGGGCGAACTGGGATTCGAACCCACAATCATAGGTTTCTGGCGTGCCCCCAAGGGACGCAACCCTGCACAGTGAATCGCGGCGCCTTAGACGACTGGGCCCCCCGTGCCCCCCCAACCCCCCCCCCGGTTACATTAAAGATTATTTAACTTACATAGTGTTCATGTGTGCGTGTGCATGCATGAACATGCATGTGTTCGTGTGTACACTAGTTTATAGTGCTAGCCCACTGAGATACCATGCCACAGTTTAACATGGATGCCCCACTCAGACACAGTGTACTGACTCCGAGCCGACCAGTCCTTGTTTTAGCCCACTGAGATACCATGCCGCAGTTTAACATGGATACCTCACTCAGACACAGTATACTGACTCTGAGTTAGTCAGTCAGTTTTATCTCCTCAACGCCAAGGGCAGGATAAGAATATTAATATTCTTTTAATGCATTTTGGTACGACACGGCTGGGGATCGAACCACCACTACCTTCTGGCTTGATGCTCTATTTGCTCTTTGGATGAAAATGTCATGTAGTTCACTGAATAACGACCTATTCAGAACATTTCACTTAAACAAGAGAAGTGAGTGAGTGAGTATGGTTTTACGCCGCTTTTAGCAATATTCCAGCAATATCACAGCGGGGGACACCAAATGTTGATGGCATTTATTTTTACATACAATGAGACTTATTAAGTGAAATTTCATCAATCTTTACAGATGTAAGTTACAAGCAGTACAATATTGTACAACTTAACACTAGCAGTGCAGTGATGTACAACATAATAAAAGCAGTGCAATATTGTACAACATAATACAAGCAGTGCAATGATGTACAACATAAACCAAACAGCGCAATGATGTAAAACATAACACTAGCAGTGCAATGATGTACAACATAATACTAGCAGTGCAATGATGTACAACATAATACTAACAGTGCAATCTTGTACAACATAATACTAGCAGTGCAATGATGTACAACATAATACTAGCAGTGCAATGATGTACAACATAATACTAGCAGTGCAATGATGTACAACATAATACTAGCAGTGCAATGATGTACAACATAATACTAACAGTGCAATGATGTACAACATAATACTAGCAGTGCAATGATGTACAGCATAATACTAGCAGTGCAATGATGTACAACATAATACTAGCAGTGCAATGATGTACAACATAATACTAACAGTGCAATGATGTACAACATAATACTATCAGTGCAATGATGTACAACATAATACTAGCAGTGCAATGATGTACAACATAATACTAGCAGTGCAATGATGTACAACATAATACTAGCAGTGGAATGATGTACAACATAATACTAGCAGTGCAATGATGTACAACATAATACTAGCAGTGCAATGATGTACAACATAATACTAGCAGTGCAATGATGTACAACATAATACTAACAGTGCAATGATGTACAACATAATACTAGCAGTGCAATGATGTACAGCATAATACTAGCAGTGCAATGATGTACAACATAATACTAGCAGTGCAATGATGTACAACATAATACTAACAGTGCAATGATGTACAACATAATACTAGCAGTGCAATGATGTACAACATAATACTAGCAGTGCAATCTTGTACAACATAATACTAGCAGTGCAATGATGTACAACATAATACTAGCAGTGCAATGATGTACAACATAATACTAGCAGTGCAATGATGTACAACATAATACTAACAGTGCAATGATGTACAACATAATACTAACAGTGCAATGATGTACAACATAATACTAGCAGTGCAATGATGTACAACATAATACTAACAGTGCAATGATGTACAACATAATACTAGCAGTGCAATGATGTACAACATAATACTAACAGTGCAATGATGTACAACATAATACTAGCAGTGCAATGATGTACAACATAATACTAGCAGTGCAATGATGTACAACATAATACTAGCAGTGCAATCTTGTACAACATAATACTAGCAGTGCAATGATGTACAACATAATACTAGCAGTGCAATGATGTACAACATAATACTAGCAGTGCAATGATGTACAACATAATACTAACAGTGCAATGATGTACAACATAATACTAGCAGTGCAATGATGTACAACATAATACTAGCAGTGCAATGATGTACAACATAATACTAGCAGTGCAATGATGTACAACATAATACTAACAGTGCAATGATGTACAACATAACACAAGTAGTGCACTGATGTACAACATAACACAAGCAGTGCAATGATGTACAACAGTATACACACACACACACACACACACACACACGCAGAAACATACACCAAACAGACAGACAGAGATCTGTTTCATACCTGATTCTCGAAAGTCTGTCTCAGTGTGTTACCGGGCGAAGGCTTCAACTCATCGTTGTGGGCTTTTTCAATGACCTCTATCACCTCCGTTTTGGCTTTACGGATGGTCTCCTGAATTTCTATGTATGTCTCTGGGTCAGCAATGGTGTCTCCAATTCCTATGCTGTGCCCCTCAATAAGCAGCCAGTTGTTGACACATGTCTGAATGTTACCATACAGTTTTCCTGCTGTGTCAAAGCCAAGTTCCATGAAGACAATATGCAGGAGAGCTCCAGATGTGGCACCAAGAGTCTTCTTACACAAGATTCCACAGATCAACTCACCATCTTCTATCAAGACCTGTGGAACAAACAATTTCAATAACTTTGAATCTCATCAAAGACATGTCACATGTCTTTCAGAAATAACGTGTGTTGGCAAGATCATGAAATTATTTTCCCATGACTGGAGGCCAAAGGTCTTCATTCATATCAAATTCCACAGCAACAGTGAGATTGAGTACAATATTATGCTAATTGTATCAATATCTGAGCATTATTGCACCATGGGGTACCATGAACCTATGTTACTGAATAGTAAGTTTTTCTCATTGTTTAACCACGAGGCCACTCATTGTCCAAGTGGATGGAAATACATAGGAATACACCTTCATAATTCTTGTTCAATGACTAACAACATTTTAGGCTTATGAATGGCCATTGAAAGCTGTAACCAAAACTGACAATTTTCTTCGTACATGTTCAGGGCTAAGTTGACCCAGTCAGTCAATACCTTGGTGTCTCCGGGAGATATCCATTTGTACGGCCCTTTGTCTTCATCATCTGGATGTGTGCTGTGAGTCCTCGTCACATTCACTCGACCAGGGATGACGATGGAGAAGATTTGCTTCCCTGTCCATAAGGGTCTGGGTTTGAGGATGGCTGGAATCGGCAGTCGGCCGTCCCATGTCGGCATGAACATCAGCAGTTTCATCACGTCACCCTGGACAAAACATGATACCAGTATGTGATGGCATGATCAGCAATAGCAAACACATAACCAAACAACGTTTCTCTTCAACTTCAAAGCTCCACCAAGGATTATTACTAAATACCCAATGAATGCGTAGTCATAATCTTTCTATACCATCATAAACAGTTTAGAGTAGGTTAAAGAAATGACCCTTACTCTGTCTAAAAAGACATCTCTCTTTGTCATTTTCCTGACAGCACACAGCGTGTCCTGCACAATACCCATAACAGGCCTGTTGGCCTGGGGGGTGATGATCATACGAGGGACAGCAGCCAGATTATGAATCTCAGCCCGGGTTTCAAGTGACTGCGCTAAGTGAAGGTTCATCTCATCACCATCACAACCAGCATTGTAGGGGGTGGTTACACTAAATAGAAAAGATAAGATAAGGTCAGCGTTATCATAACTTCAACCATTGCTCTTGTACCTGAAAGTAGGAAGTAATGTCCATGTTATCCCTTCAGGAAATCAAAACGTTGAATATTATGTTAGACGCTCCAAAAGGCATATAAGTAAATGTAATATTTTGGCTACTTTTGGGGGGCCCCATATAAAAAATTTGGTTTATTTCAGATCAAAATTCATCAAATTCATCTTAATAGTATTTGAAAAGAATCAACAGACGCTTCTGTATCGTCATTGTCTATTGATAGCCGTATGGGTAATATGAGGTCATCTCACATGTGACGCCATTACTGTTCTGAATAAACAGAATTAAGTCGTCCGAGATCGAATTCTTCATTTTGAATTCTTGCAGGGTTGTAATCAAATCCAAATCAGAACCCCCACCTTTCCCCCAACACATAGAACATATTTACATAGGTTTTTGCATATGTGCTTATGTATATTTTCTATATTTGATTGAAAAGTCGTATCAATGAACGTCGCTCTATGAACAGCAACACGCTGTAGCGTTAGTTTCGTGATTAGCTGTAATTTGTGATTATGTCGTGTTTCAAATTACATTCTTAAGAGAATATTCCTTGTAAATCTGTTAGTTTTTAATCACTACAAATTCTGTAAATGCAGAGATTAGTGAAAGTGCAAGTTAATGAAAGGGAGACAATTCTGTAAGAACTTTCTAGAATTACACGTGGTCAAAGCGCCACTTCCGCTTATAGTCTAAGGGAGGTAATTCTAATTCGAGGTTGTCGATCGATGTATTGGTTACATTTGCGTGTTGCAAGTATATAGCCATAACTTTGCTGTAACAGTTAGTACTGGTTTGAATTTCTGTTAATCAGCATTACTGTAATTCGCTTTAGATTTCTTTGCAAAAATATATTAATATTTTGTAACTTTTAATGCAAACAAATCTAGTCAGCTGAGTTTATAGTGTAGTCAATATATTTGTTAAGGACAATTATTAGTATTGTTTTACAAATATTTTCCAATTACTGTCAAAACTATTTTCAAGTTTTTTTTATATATTTTCAATTTATTATTTCACACATTATTATACAATTGTCCCAACTTTGTATATTTCATGTCAAAATATAACAAAAGGCTAAATTAATGTTTTATTACTTTATTATCAATAATTTCACATTGTAAAATGCATTTAGAAGTATTCTGTCAAAGTTTAATGCAATATTGTCATGATAGTAACTTAGTGAATTTTCCACTGAATCCAAGGGAGATAACTATGCATTCACTATTGCTCAAAGGTTGCATAACCTTTATCTGCTTAATGCTAGGTGTAAGTCTAAGTATTGTACTGAATTTCAATTTTATTGTTAATTGTAAATTATCCTTTTGATTTGTCATCTCACATGTGACGCCATTACTGTTCTGAATAAACAGTCGTCCGAGATCGAATTCTTCATTTTAAATTCTTTCAGGTAATAAATACCTATCGAAGGTTACACCGTCCGGGGGATGTAACATTTATCATCACACGGCAGACATATATAGAGAATCTCACCCGAGTGTCTTTTGATGTCAAATATATCAACATGAGTTGATAAAAGTGGGAAAAGGCTTGCTGAGGAGTTTTTCCACTTTTATCAACGAGTGTTGATATATTTGATATCAAAAGACACTCGGCTGAGATTTTATTTATCAGCCAACATCATTCTTCCAACTTTTTCAGCTGGAGACAGTAATAAGCAGTGTCTTAAGTGTAAAAAGTACTGCTAACAGCTTCAGTACTAGAGCCATAAGTGATGTCATTTGATTGTGACATCATGGTAACCAATGACGTCACAATGGTCTGCAAAGCATTGTGATGTAATTTCATCACAGCGATATCCACAATGTAGATATCGCTTGATCTCCCCCATGCGATATCTCCTGTGGGAGCCAGTTTTGGATGATAAATGTAGGACTCAGATCTATGGCGGGACTCTAATCTGTGGCATATTCTGAGATCCGTGGAAGATTCCATCATTATTGATGTCGTGTTTGGAATGATGTCTTATCAGTTCAATTGTTACATGATGTCATGCTTGAGATGATGTCATGACTCCTTGTCTGGGATGACGTCATGTAAGTTTAACATCTATTAGCGATAGACACAGCGATCAGTCGAAAACAGTGGAGCCGGACACCATAGAAAATGAAGGATTTCTCATAGGGGATTCATGCCGGCAGAGGGAAGAAACCTGTATCAAAAGACCCTAAAGCCGAATTACATTCAAATGATTAAGGTGTATATTTTCACGCATCCCTACTTTGGGATTCAGAGCCTTTACGGCCTTTTCGGCTCTGAATCCCAAAGTAGGGACGCGTGAAAATATTAAACTCCCGCAAATGAGAGGATGGTGCGGATGGTTGTAGAAAATTATTTCCATGATGAAACTTTGGGGAATGTTTTTAAGAAAAGTACTGATATGCAATCCCTGCACCGACGATGCTGTTCCAATGGGGAATTGATAAAAATAATCCAGAGAAATCTCAACATCGATCATCGTAAATCTGCCGCAATATATGAATCTACACGATGTTTAGTCCTATAGAAATTGCCAATTATTAATGATAATCTGAGTATGTGCCAATACCCGCCCTATTTGTGGAATCTGCCATAGATCTGGGAATCTGCTACAGATGAGAGTCCTACCATAGATCTGAGAATCTGCTACAACCATTTAAACTTGTTAATATTTCTGTGGAGAAACAGTATGTTAAAATATAAAGTTAACTTTCTTTTGGTATGCATTAACGACTCATGACTGACTTCTCTCCCTTTTGTTAATGTTTACACTTAATAAGCTAGTGCATCTAGGTTATTGAGGTTCTCAAGTGAGTGAGTGAGTTAAGTTTAACGTCACATCGGCAATATTTCAGCCATATCGTGACTAGGTTCCCAAGGAGAACCAAACATTCTATATTGTTCTTTAGACAACATACCTGAGATTGAGACGGAAAGTTGACCACAGCAACACTTTGACCCTGTGACACATCATACTCGTCTTGTGGAGAGTGGGCTGTCGGTTGATGGTGACCACGTCGTCATCTTGCATGTGTCTCTCCACCTGTAGGGCAACAAAAAGCAACATTCACTATGAGAAATTGATAACAGCAAACCAACAATCATTTCTCGTCACTTCTGTTTACCTCCTTCGAGCTACAATGTGCTTAATGGCTCATGATGTTGAGCCCTCAGAAAAAAATTAGAGTGTTTAACGTAACTATCAGATAGTCAAGACGTTAAGTGTTTTACATCATAGGGCATGGCAGTAAACACTGATCAAACAAACCAATCACACAGCTCTTGTAGCTTATCATGACTGCTATCAAAAAGCATCATCAAACTGTCAAATTGTAAAAAAAACATTTCTTATCAACATATTCAAAGATCTCATTCCGACTAATCTTCATCAACAATAGAGATCTTCTGAGATGGGCATAACGCCACATTGAATAACATATCAACATACTGTATTCGACGTAATAAGCGCCCAGTGCACTCTCAAAATTAGAAATAAGGAGCTCTTATTAGAATATTATTTTGGTGAAAAAAACAGAGTTTTCGTGGTTTATGCTGACAGCCTGAAATGATACAAAAGAAAAGTCTGTGCGTATAATACACGACAGATATATTTTTCCAGAATCTAATTGTCTATAGTTAAGGGTGCATATAACACACGAGTGCGTATTATACACGAATAAATAAATCTTGTGTACATTGATCAATCGGAAGGGGTGCTAATTGGGATTTTCACTAGCCATTATATTAGCAAATATCGCCGTTGGTGCCTATTAGTGCGGGGCGCTTATTATGTCGAATACGGTATATAGATCATTACAAATTATAAAAACAGTACACAAATTGTTAAATATTCTTTCATTATTTTTGCCTCTACAAACCTTGTAGCCAACTTGAAGATGGAGATCTGACCACTTGGGTTGAAACCTGAGATCGATCCTCTCTCCATTATCTCGGATGATGTACTTGGCTCCAGGATACTGATTGGCATCACGACGACGACGATGACGTACTAGCTCCTGCATCCTGCAACATACACTCACTAACATGAGACAGCTGTACGCTGTACGCTCAGGTGAGGTGGTGTGAAATGGGGTTAAGATGAGATACCATGCCACAGTTTAACATGAATACCCCACTCAGACACAGTATACTGACTCCGAGCTGAACAGTTCTTGTTTTTGCCCCTTTATGCAAAGCGCCAGAAAGGGTAACAACAAGTACCATATGTTAACGTCTTTTGGTATGACATGTCCAGGGATTGAACCCCGAAATTCCATTCCAGCTCTACCACTGGACCATGGACCCTCAGAAACCTAAGATGTAGGCTTTTCACTGAATTAGTATATACTCACGTCGAGCTTGACCACTCTTGCCATGAGCTCAGGGATGTGATGAGATAATTATGATTTGAGATGCGATGCGATGCGATGCGATGCGGTGCGATGCGATGCGATGCGATGCAATGCGATGCAATGCGATGCCATGCGATGTGATGCCATGCGATGTGTGATGTGATGTGATGCGATGTGATATTTATGATGTGATGTGATGCAATATTTATGATTTGAGATGAGATGTAATTTAATGTGATGCGATGCGATGCGATGTGTGACGTGATGTGATGCGATGTGATGCGATATTTATGCTTTGAGATGAGATGTATTGTAATGTGATGCGATGCGATGTGTGACGTGATGCGATGTGATGTGATATTTATGATGTGATATTTATGATGTGATGTGATGCGATATTTATGATTTGAGATGAGATGTAATTTAATGTGATGCGATGCGATGCGATGTGTGACGTGATGTGATGCGATGTGATATTTATGATGTAATGTGATGCGATATTTATTATTTGAGATGAGATGTAATGTAATGTGATGCAATGTGATGTGTGACGTGATGCGATGTGATGTGATATTTATGATGGGATATTTATGATGGGATGTGATGCGATATTTATGATTTGAGATGAGAAGTAATGTAATGTAATGTAATGCGATGCGATGCGATGCAATGCGATGTGTGACGTGATGCAATGTGATGTGATATTTATGACGTGATATTTATGATGGGATGTGATGCGATATTTATGATTTGAGATGAGATGTAATGTAATGTAATGTAATGCGATGCGATGCGACGTGATGCGATGTGATGTGGTATTTATGATGTGAGACTTGACAGGACTTGACGTGATGTGATGTTACATGACACAGGTCAGCCCCAACAATAAAACCAAATCACCTTAAAAATATGCAAGTTAAAGTTTAGAAATAAGTAAGAATATGATTTTATACAATGTCAATGAACATTGCAAGCATGCAGAATATTATCAACTTATTTCATGATAGACCGAGCCACTGACCTGTCGATGTTGAATGGTGTGACAAGTTCTGGGAATGTTAAGTTCTGTGCAATGGTTCTGGGAACACCAACTTGGTCCACTCTCAGATTGGGATCTGGCGTAATGACAGTACGTGCAGAGAAGTTCACACGCTTTCCCATCAAGTTTCCTCGAACTCGACCTTCCTTTCCCTTCAATCTTTGTTTTACTGACTTCAGGGGACGGCCTGACTTTAGTACCGCCTAGAAAATTCAACAGATTTCTGAGGTGATATCAGGCAGTATAGAAATGGTTGTGGTCAGTGTCCATCTATGTAACATATTTCCATCTGTATTTGAACTGTCAGTTCTATGTTGTAATAGATATATACCCAGGATTCAAAACTAAGTGCCCTGGACAGGCAATACAATTAGGAAGGGGAAAATGGTCAAAAATGAGGTTTGGAAATTTTTATTTTTTATTCCCAATCTATATCATCTGTACTGTTCCTGTTGTCAATGACATGTTAGGACAGGCAATACAATTAGGAATGGGAAAATGGTCAAAATTGAGGTTTGGAAATTTTTACTTTTTATTCCCAATCTATATCATCAGTACTGTTCCTGTTGTCAATGACATGTGAGCGTAAATATGTACCCCCTGAACATCTGTTGGTGGAATCGATACACCAGGAGTTTTTGTTCCTGAGGGAAGTTTCCCCTGGGTATAGTGTTCCTGTGGAAAGTTCCCCCTGGGTATATTTATATTGTTCCTGAGGAAAGTTCCCCCTGGGTATATTTATATTGTTCCTGTGGAAAGTTCCCTCTGGGTATATTGTTCCTGAGGAAAGTTTCCCCTAGGTATATTGTTCCTGAGGGAAGTTTCCCCTGGGTATAGTGTTCCTGTGGAAAGTTTCCCCTGGGTATATTTATATTCTTCCTGTGGAAAGTTCCCCCTGGGTATATTGTTCCTGTGGAAAGTTTCCCCTAGGTATATTGTTCCTGTGGAAAGTTCCCCCTGGGTATATTGTTCCTGAGGAAAGTTTCCCCATGGGTATATTGTTCCTGAGGGAAGTTCCCCCTGGGTATATTGTTCCTGAGGAAAGTTTCCCCTGGGTATATTTATATTGTTCCTGTGGAAAGTTTCCCCTGGGTATATTTATATTGTTCCTGAGGAAAGTTTCCCCTGGGTATATTGTTCCTGAGGGAAGTTTCCCCTGGGTATAGTGTTCCTGTGGAAAGTTTCCCCTGGGTATATTTATATTGTTCCTGAGGAAAGTTCCCCCTGGGTATATTCATATTGTTCCTGTGGAAAGTTTCCCCTGGGTATATTGTTCCTGAGGAAAATTTCCCCTGGGTATATTGTTCCTGTGGAAAGTTCCCCCTGGGTATATTGTTCCTGAGGAAAGTTCCCCCTGGGTATATTGTTCCTGAGGAAAGTTCCCCCTGGGTATATTGTTCCTGAGGAAAGTTCCCCCTGGGTATATTGTTCCTGTGGAAAGTTTCCCCTGGGTATATTTATATTGTTCCTGTGGAAAGTTTCCCCTGGGTATATTTATATTGTTCCTGTGGAAAGTTCCCCCTGGGTATATTGTTCCTGAGGAAAGTTTCCCCTGGGTATATTGTTCCTGAGGGAAGTTTCCACTGGGTATATTGTTCCTATGAAAAGTCTCCCCGGGGTATAGTGTTCCAGAGGAAAGTTCCCACTGGGTATATTGTTCCTGTGGAAAGTTTCCCCTGGGTATATTGTTCCTATGAAAAGTTTACCCTGGGTATATTGTTCCTATGAAAAGTTTCCCCTGGGTATAGTGTTCCTGTGGAAAGTTTCCCCTGGGTATATTTATATTGTTCCTGAGGAAAGTTCCCCCTGGGTATATTCATATTGTTCCTGTGGAAAGTTTCCCCTGGGTATACCGGGTATTGTTCCTGAGGAAAATTTTCCCTGGGTATATTGTTCCTGAGGAAAGTTCCCCCTGGGTATATTGTTCCTGAGGAAAGTTCCCCCTGGGTATATTGTTCCTGAGGAAAGTTCCCCCTGGGTATATTGTTCCTGTGGAAAGTTTCCCCTGGGTATATTTATATTGTTCCTGTGGAAAGTTTCCCCTGGGTATATTTATATTGTTCCTGTGGAAAGTTCCCCCTGGGTATATTGTTCCTGAGGAAAGTTTCCCCTGGGTATATTGTTCCTGAGGGAAGTTTCCCCTGGGTATATTGTTCCTATGAAAAGTTTCCCCGGGGTAAAGTGTTCCAGAGGAAAGTTCCCACTGGGTATATTGTTCCTGTGGAAAGTTTCCCCTGGGTATATTGTTCCTATGAAAAGTTTCCCCTGGGTATATTGTTCCTATGAAAAGTTTCCCCTGGGTATATTGTTCCTATGAAAAGTTTCCCCTGAGTATATTGTTCATGTGGAAAGTTTCCCCTGGGTATATTGTTCCAGAGGAACAAAACACCTGGTATATCGCTTCCACCATACAAATGTTGCCCTCACAACATACAAGTAACCTCTGTCAAGTCATCACATTAATTAGAACCATGGTAACATCAATATGGGGAAAATGAGTTATTTTGATTTGGTGTACCAACTCATGTGTAAGAGTGAGTGAGTGAGTGAGTTTGGTTTTACGCCGCTTTTAGCAATATTCCAGCAATATCACGGCGGGGGACACCAGAAATGGGCTTCACACATTGTACCCATGTCGGGATTCGAACCCGGGTGTTCGGCGTGACGAGCGAACGCTTTAACCACTAGGCTACCCGACCGCCCCTCATGTGTAAGAGCAATTGTCATCACATCCCAAACTAAAAAAATATGGTGGCAACTGAATGTAGTCCATTTCTCTTAACAGAAAGTAGAATGTCAGCTGATCAAGGATGGAATGCCTTGTCTAGTGTATGAGACTATGCAGGTGTAGAAATTAAATTTATTTAGTCCCAAAACATGATCTGCTTCCGACTTGCCACCTACCTGATGTTAAGTGTGGTAGTCCTCAAGGAAAAGTCATTAGTGTTTGACACAAAATCTGTCAGTGGTCCAAAGGACCAGCACATAGAAAAATCTTGTTGGATCTCTACCAGACACAATGGTCCTGACCAAAAAAGGTTTTAAAACTAATAAAAGGTATTAATTCATTGTGCAATTAGAATGAGAAACCAGCCAAGAAGGTAATCACTGTGTTGTTTAGGGTGCTGGGTTTGCTTGAGCTTAGAACCAACTTAAATTACTTTGTTCGAACCCCAAATAACACAACACCAGCATTTATTCAATTTTACTGGTCCTTAAGCATGTTAAGGAAATATGCTTGACTCAGAGCAGCGGACCAGTGTTAGTGTCAAACACTGACTAGTCCTTCATGAATTGTATTAGTTTCGGATTAGTTACGAGATATTTGTGTGACTCACCCTGGGCAAACCGGGCAGCTCGTTGTCTACCAGTGTGGCACAGTGGTACTGCAACAACTTTGTGTCTTCAGTTATGATGTGAACTCCTGCTCCGTTCTGTTCATTACGTCGAAGCTGGTTGTTGGCCTTCACTATGTCAGCCAACTTGTGAGTTAAATCATCCTACCACCAAGAAAGACATTATTTCACTGACCTCATGAAGGATAGAAATTTAACATCATGACAATATTGAGGGAATGCTCAAAGTACATGTCACAGATATAAAACTCAACAAGTTGGATCAATCAGAAGACAAAGATGAAAATTCTTATTCCACTTCAGAGTTTGACATTTGTTATACTACAGTACCAATGGCACAGTTAAAATCATAATGGCACTGCTACCTAGAAATCATACTTTTACACACACGTCTATATATAAACATGATGAAGCCAGTCATCACTGTAGAGAAATTCACCTGGTAAATGAACACATTAACATGGACATAGCATTCATAAAATAATCCTGGGATTCACAAACTGAAAAAGGTATTACTATTATCAATTTCAATGAAAAGGAAGGTGCAAACAATCTCATGGGGAAATGACATTCAACAGGTTCAAAGAAGCATTGTTCTTGTTGGCTCCCTTTATTCCCAAAGGGCACTCCTGAACATTGAGTGCCCTGTGGGACAGTTGCAAGACACTACATTTCTATCCCTGCATTTCCATGGAAGATGATGCTGGTGACAACTATGCAGAAGATACAGGATGAGAGCCCAGGATGGATAATACAATTCCATGGAAGTTCCCTTTATCTACGTGTTTCTGATGTCATTAGGTCTCTTAAATCTTTCAACTGATCTATGCATGTAGCCCTCAGAAAAAAATTAGAGTGTTTAACGTAACTATCAGCTAGTCAAGACGTTAAAGTGGTTTACATCATTGGGCATTTGCGATTCTCTAACAGCTGTTGCACCTTATGTAGATGAAAGTTAAGAAGTAACAGACAACTGCTGGAGTAGGCCGAATCAAGGTAAAAGATACTCAAACATCAGAAAAGAGAAAAATATACTCTTTGTAAGTTTGTGCATCTTTTGAACTTAAGGGGGGTCCTGGTGTCATGGATGATCTACCTCCTGTAGTATTTGAATCTTGGAACTCTCTCCATCTCTGGCATTCAACATTATGACAAGGGCCCCTGGACTTTCATGTTGAATGTCGCACAATGACACTCCACTAATATTTCCCATAGAAGGGATTGCAACGCACCTGATTCCTTGCCGAGCCAAACATGACAACAGCTGGTCTCACAGCCAATGGCGGCACAGGATACACTGTCAGAATCATCCAATCAGGACGAGCATACCTTGGGTCCATTCCAAGAATCATACACTCTTCATCAGAAATTCTTTTGAAGATTTCAAGCACTCTTTCTGCTGACAGAATAAGTTTCTTTTCTTGGGACTCCTCATTCACATTTTTCCATTTTGCAACCACCTCAAGACCAGTTCTCTTCAGTTTGGGTTGATATCTGCCGCACCCACCATGGCCCTGAAATCAGCAGTCCGTACAAATGAGCCACATTACTTCATAGCAAACGGTTAAACACAAGATACAGGTAAGTCATGGGCAAACCAATATGTATCTTGCAATGTCTTGTCACTAAAACTGATGTACTGCTGCCCCAAGACTCTTCTGTTCATGTATTGCTACCCTAGACTACCAATGGTACATATCTCCTTTTCTGTAGATGTATTGCTACCCTAGACTACCAATGGTACATACCTCCTTCTCTGTTGATGAATTGCTACCCCAGACTACCAATGATACATATCTCCTTCTCTGATGATGTATTGCTACCCCAGACTACCAATGGTACATATCTCCTTCTCTGTTGATGTATGGCTACCCTAGACTACCAATGGTACATATCTCCTTTTCTGTTGATGTATGGCTACCCTAGACTACCAATGGTACATATCTCCTTTTCTGTTGATGTATGGCTACCCCAGACTACCAATGGTACATATCTCCTTCTCTGTTGATGTATGGCTACCCTAGACTACCAATGGTACATATCTCCTCTTCTGTTGATGTATGGCTACCCTAGACTACCAATGGTACCTATCTCCTCTTCTGTTGATGTATGGCTACCCTAGACTACCAATGGTGCATATCTCCTTCTCTGTTGATGTATGGCTACCCTAGACTACCAATGGTACATATCTCCTCTTCTGTTGATGTATGGCTACCCTAAACTACCAATGGTACATATCTCCTTTTCTGTTGATGTATTGCTACCCCAGACTACCAATGATACATATCTCCTTCTCTGTTGATGTATTGCTACCCCAGACTACCAATGATACATATCTCCTTTTCTGTTGATGTATTGCTACCCCAGACTACCAATGGTACATATCTCCTTCTCTGTTGATGTATTGCTACCCCAGACTACCAATGGTACATACCACCTTCTATGTTGATGTATTGCTACCCCAGACTACCAATGGTACATACCTTCTTTTCTGTTGATGTATGGCTACCCCAGACTACCAATGGTACATACCTCCTTCTATGTTGATGTATTGCTACCCCAGACTACCAATGGTACATACCACCTTCTATGTTGATGTATTGCTACCCCAGACTACCAATGGTACATACCTTCTTTTCTGTTGATGTATGGCTACCCCAGACTACCAATGGTACATATCTCCCTCTATGTTGATGTATTGCTACCCCAGACTACCAATGGTACATATCTCCCTCTCCGTTGATTTATGGCTACTCTAGACTACCAATGATACATATCTCCCTCTCTGTTGATGTATTGCTACCCCAGACTACCAATGGCACATACCCCCTTTTCTGTTGATGTATTGCTACCCCAGACTAATAGGGTACATATCTCCCTCTCTGTTGATGTATTGCTACCCTAGACTACCAATGGTACATATCTCCTCTTCTGTTGATGTATTGCTACCCTAGACTACCAATGGTACATATCTCCCTCTCTGTTGATGTATGGCTACCCCAGACTACCAATGGTACATATCTCCTTCTCTGTTGATGTATTGCTACCCCAGACTACCAATGGTACATATCTCCTTCTCTGTTGATGTATGGCTACCCTACACTACCAATGGTACATATCTCCTTTTCTGTTGATGTATTGCTACCCTAGACTGCCAATGGTACATACCTCCTTCTCTGTTGATGTATTGCTACCTCAGACTACCAATGATACATACTTCCCTCTCTGTTGATGTATTGCTAACCCAGACTACCAATGATACATACCTCCCTCTCTGTTGATGTATGGCTACCCCAGACTACCAATGGTACATATCTCCTTCTCTGTTGATGTATTGCTACCCTAGACTGCCAATGGTACATACCTCCTTCTCTGTTGATGTATTGCTACCCTAGACTACCAATGGTACATATCTCCTTTTCTGTTGATGTATTGCTACCCTAGACTGCCAATGGTACATACCTCCTTCTCTGTTGATGTATTGCTACCTCAGACTACCAATGGTACATATTTCCTTTTCTGTTGATGTATTGCTACCCTAGACTACCAATGGTACATATCTCCTTTTCTGTTGATGTATTGCTACCCTAGACTGCCAATGGTACATACCTCCTTCTCTGTTGATGTATTGCTACCTCAGACTACCAATGGTACATATTTCCTTTTCTGTTGATGTATTGCTACCCCAGACTACCAATGGTACATATCTCATTTTCTGTTGATGTATTGCTACCCTAGACTGCCAATGGTACATACCTCCTTCTCTGTTGATGTATTGCTACCTCAGACTACCAATGGTACATATTTCCTTTTCTGTTGATGTATTGCTACCCCAGACTACCAATGGTACATATCTCCTTCTCTGTTGATGTATTGCTACCCTAGACTGCCAATGGTACATATCTCCTCATCTGTTGATGTATTGCTACCCCAGACTACCAATGGTACATATCTCCCTCTCTGTTGATGTATGGCTACCCCAGACTACCAATGGTACATATCTCCTTCTCTGTTGATGTATTGCTACCCCAGACAACCAATGATACATACCTCCCTCTCTGTTGATGTATGGCTACCCTACACTACCAATGGTACATATCTCCTTCTCTGTTGATGTATTGCTACCCTAGACTGCCAATGGTACATACCCCATTCTCTGTTGATGTATTGCTACCCTAGACTACCAATGGTTCATATCTCCTTTTCTGTTGATGTATTGCTACCCTAGACTGCCAATGGTACATACCTCCTTCTCTGTTGATGTATTGCTACCCCAGACTACCAATGGTACATATTTCCTTTTCTGTTGATGTATTGCTACCCCAGACTACCAATGGTACATATCTCCTTTTCTGTTGATGTATTGCTACCCTAGACTGCCAATGGTACATACCTCCTTCTCTGTTGATGTATTGCTACCTCAGACTACCAATGGTACATATTTCCTTTTCTGTTGATGTATTGCTACCCCAGACTACCAATGGTACATATCTCCTTTTCTGTTGATGTATTGCTACCCTAGACTGCCAATGGTACATACCTCCTTCTCTGTTGATGTATTGCTACCTCAGACTACCAATGGTACATATTTCCTTTTCTGTTGATGTATTGCTACCCCAGACTACCAATGGTACATGTCTCCTTTTCTGTTGATGTATTGCTACCCTAGACTGCCAATGGTACATATCTCCTTCTCTGCTGATGTATTGCTACCCCAGACTGCCAGTGGTACATATCTCCTTCTCTGTTGATGTATTGCTACCCTAGACTACCAATGGTACATACCTCCTTCTCTGTTGATGTATTGCTACCCTAGACTACCAATGGTACATATTTCCTTCTCTGTTGATGTATTGCTACCCTAGACTGCCAATGGTACATATCTCCTTCTCTGCTGATGTATTGCTACCCCAGACTGCCAATGGTACATATCTCTTCTCTGTTCATGTATTGCTACCCTAGACTACCAATGGTACATACCTCCTTCTCTGTTGATGTATTGCTACCCTAGACTACCAATGGTACATATTTCCTTCTCTGTTGATGTATTGCTACCCTAGACTGCCAATGGTACATATCTCCTTCTCTGCTGATGTATTGCTACCCCAGACTGCCAATGGTACATATCTCCTTCTCTGTTGATGTATTGCTACCCTAGACTACCAATGGTACATACCTCCTTCTCTGTTGATGTATTGCTACCCTAGACTACCAATGGTACATATTTCCTTCTCTGTTGATGTATTGCTACCCTAGACTACCAATGGTACATACCTCCTTCTCTGTTGATGTATGGCTACCCTAGACTACCAATGGTACATATCTCCTCTTCTGTTGATGTATGGCTACCCTAGACTACCAATGGTACCTATCTCCTCTCCTGTTGATGTATGGCTAGCCTAGACTACCAATGGTGCATATCTCCTTCTCTGTTGATGTATGGCTACCCTAGACTACCAATGGTACATATCTCCCTCTCTGTTGATGTATTGCTACCCCAGACTTCCAATGGTACATACCACCTTCTATGTTGATGTATGGCTCCCCCAGACTACCAATGGTACATACCTTCTTTTCTGTTGATGTATGGCTACCCCAGACTACCAATGGTACATATCTCCCTCTATGTTGATGTATTGCTACCCCAGACTACGAATGGTACATATCTCCCTCTCCGTTGATGTATGGCTACTCTAGACTACCAATGGTATATACCTACTTCGCTGTTGATGTATTGCTACCCCAGACTATCAATGATACATATCTCCTTTTCTGTTGATGTATTGCTACCCCAGACTACCAATGATACATATCTCCTTCTCTGATGATGTATTGCTACCCCAGACTACCAGTGGTACATACCTCCTCTTCTGTTGATGTATGGCTACCCTAGACTACCAATGGTACATATCTCCTCTTCTGTTGATGTATTGCTACCCCAGACTACCAATGGCACATACCCCCTTTTCTGTTGATGTATTGCTACCCCAGACTACCAATGGTACATATCTCCCTCTCTGTTGATGTATTGCTACCCCAGACTACCAATGGTACATATCTCCTCTTCTGTTGATGTATTGCTACCCTAGACTACCAATGGTACATATCTCCCTCTCTGTTGATGTATGCCTACCCCAGACAACCAATGGTACATATCTCCTTCTCTGTTGATGTATTGCTACCCCAGACTACCAATGATACATACCTCCCTCTCTGTTGATGTATTGCTACCCTAGACTACCAATGGTACATATCTCCTTCTCTGTTGATGTATTGCTACCCTAGACTACCAATGATACATATCTCCTTTTCTGTTGATGTATTGCTACCCCAGACCACCAATGGTACATATCTCCCTCTCTGTTGATGTATTGCTACCCCAGACTTCCAATGGTACATACCACCTTCTATGTTGATGTATTGCTACCCCAGACTACCAATGGTACATACCTTCTTTTCTGTTGATGTATGGCTACCCCAGACTACCAATGGTACATATCTCCCTCTATGTTGA